ACCATTTATTTCAATCTGCTGAGTGATTAGGGCCAGAAATTTGCTGTAGGGACCATCACCAGGGCTGGATTTACCAATAGGCTAGGCAGGCTGACCCCTAGAGCCTCGAAATACGGTTTCAAAGTTTGTAATTCTTTTGAAAACTTGACAAGTATAAACCCTACAAAAAGTATATATATATATCAAGCTTTTCAGAGTAGAAAATTCTGTATACAACAAGTTTCTACCACATTGTAAACAGCCATTATTGCGTCGTTTGCATCATAATAAGGGAAATTATTATTATGCGCATTCTGCTGGAAGTTTCTATGTTAAAGTATGGCTGTAGCGGTTGTTTGATCAAAGAAATTGAAAGCAAAACTGCCTCCAGTAAATTATCATTCTTTTAATAAAAATTCACACCCATGAATGAGGAGAATGAAAAGTTTAATGCTTTCATATTTTTAAATTTTAAGCATCTAAATGTGTTGTTGTTTAGAGAGAAATTCTGAGCTCAAAAATATGAAGGGGCCTCTCATGGTCTAAATCCAGCCCTGAACATCACCAATTTTGGGATAGGTACCGTACATGGTAGGTACCGTCAACATATGAACAGAGTTAGGCCATTGGATTTTGAAAGGTGTACCAGAAATGTACATGGAATTCATGAAATATATAACATAAAATTAAAACCAAAATAGGTCTTCCGTTGAACGCCAGTTGTGGCACATATCCCACAGAGCACGGCGCGTTGGCAGAATCTCATGGTCTAGTGAGAATGACGTCATCGGAAACACCGCGCTCATTAAAATTTCAATGAACGATTATTAAAAATCTTGACCATGTTTATCATAATAAAAATATAAACAAAGATGTAAAAAATATTCTATCCACAAAACTGCTCACGTATACAATGAAAGATATCTAGAAAATTACATAAAATGCAAATTTCTGCTCTGGTGATCACATTCCCCATAAGAGATAATGTTAAAAAATATTTTTTCACATCACTTTTTTTTTTGCGCGTAGGATGGGTTTTTAATGAATAAGGTCTATTCGGTTATTAGCGTGAAGACATGTTAATCAGAAGGAACTAAATTTTGACCTCGATACTTCACTGTTATTGACGATGGTTGTGTACAATGCTTGCGCAAATGGTACGGGGTGTGCATCCACTCATGCATTATAGCGGATCTCCTTATTACAAACGTTATAACGTCGCTCAACCTATAGTTTCTGCTTTTAAGCTTGTTATTAGCTCTGAGCACAATTTTGTTGCATTTAGCGAAAGTTTTCGTGTTTTTATATTTCGGCAGGCGATTGAACGTAATAAACGCTATTTTAAAAAGATATTGATAACCCCTTTTTAATTCATGTTATAACAATTGTTCTGAAAGTATATCAATCAGGAGCGGATAATTACTCGTGGTAGATTTTTTATTTTATTTTGCGATCAACCCTGAAACACACAAATATTCTGCACCAACAAAAACTTTCGATCATCGGAAAGTTATTTTCGGAAGATCACATGAAAAATAAATAGATGCTTCATCAGCACATTGATAGACCACTAATGGGGTTTTATGGTTAGTGACAAATAAAGTGAAATGTCCAACGAGAACTCAATTTTGAGTGCTACAAACGCGTGGTATTGATTCGAATCCAAATCCGCATTCGCTATACCGAAGCTGTTACCAGATTTCATGTAGACATGCGGGAGTAAAAAATATTTTTTCTAGAATAATAAAAAGTGAAGTAAGCAAGTAAGTCTTCCACACTTCTGAGTCAATACATATGATATTGTTTGAATCAAGTAATAGTATAGATAGGCTATAAAAGATAAAACTCTCTTCGCAGTGCAGCATTTTCTGGACGACTTCAGTCATTTTTTGGAATCGCGTTTCCAAATTACATTTTTCATAAATAAAAAATATAGTTGAAATTTGCAGAGCTATGGTTTCCGAAGTTTAACTTTATAGCACATGATTCGGACCTCCTGAAGTATTCTGAAAACAAAACTTCTGCCAGCAATGAGCTCTGGGACAGATATTCAAATGAGGTCATGGCGATAATCTGGGTTCTGAGCTGTAGTTGGAGTATATTTTTTACGACCCGGACTCACAATTATACACGGTGACACATCGCGAATGTTTTCTTAATCCGGAGTGGGAGTCAATTTCCAATATTTCCGGACTTCAATTTCCCGACTGGGAAAGAACCTGTGCATACGCTTGAGTTCGGTAGGATTTATCCGTGTACCCACTCTCGTTTTTGTTGGACCATACTCGGGCTGTTGGTGTAACTGGGCAGAGGTGGGTACCGCATTTGTGTGGGATGTATCAGCTAGGCCTATGGCCTATCTCTATATATTACTGACGTGATATGCAGCTTAGAGCTACACGTTAAGTCCATCATTTATTCATATTTGCAGTAATCAGATATTCCATATTGGGCGCATGTTCACTAAACGACGAAAGTACCGGTACTTCTAGTTGGCATGGCACAAACATTTTTGCATATGTCATTCCTGGGTGTCATGTCGTTTCGTACCTAACGTACTTCTAGTAGGCGTAGCATAACAATTTTTTCACGTGTTAATTCTAACCCCCACTTGACCACACCATCCAAAAATTACGTCACAGTGACGTAATAGAACCCTTCAGACTATGTCATCCATGTCCTATGTCATCGAACTGTCATCCAAGACGCGCAGACGAGAAATCGAACAGCCATTTCTCTCGTTTTCTCGTCGCAGCGATCCCGATAAGAGAGAGCTTGCTGACGTTAGTCAGTTCTTTATCGTCGGCGCCGATGCCATTTCGGGCGATCGTACGAGTATTCGGCAAGCTCTATGACGTGATTGTGATGTCGTAGTGACGTAATTTTTGGATGACGTAGTCAGGTGAGGGTTAGGATTGGCATGTCGAAAAATTGTTATGCTACGCCTACTAGATGTACGAAACTATACGAGACCCTTATTCCTCACCTGGCTTCGTCATCCAAAAATTACCCCATTTTTACGTCACAAACACGTCATAGAGCTTCCAAAGAAAAGCTATGATGGCCGAAATGACATCTCTGCTGAAGACAACGAACACGCTAACGCTAGCTATCTCTCTGATATTGGAATCGTTACGACGAGGAAACGAAAGAAATAGCTTGCTTGATTTCGGGTGATCGTCTGCGCTTTTTGGACGACGATTCGTATACTTTGACGGGTCATATTTCGTAATTGTTACGCTGTAGTGACGTAATTTTTGGATGACGTAGTCAGGTGGTGGATAGATATCATTATGACATATGTGAAAATGGTCATGCCACGCCAACTAAAAGTACTTGACAGCGTTTAGTGAACTAGCTTCCAGTATTTCATGTATTGGGTTTAGCTTTCTATAAGATTATAATATGTGAAATTTACAGATTTATTTCACCAGATCAAAGTTATATAACCTAATACTGTAATAGTTGATCAACTGGCATGGATTATGTTCCACCAACTATTGGAGACACAATTGAATTATTATGGTTTATTATGATATTCCTCCTTGTTCTACTTCTCGTCGCTCTTTGCACCTTTAATAAAGAAAATGGCGGAGTTCTGTGGCAGCTGATGACAATAGCTTCTCAATATGGCAAACTTAATTCTGGAAAAGCCATTAAGTTTTTCAATTTACCAAAGAAGATATTCACACATTTTTATGCTATTTCTGTACTATGGAATTTGATATTCATCGCAGATTTGAGCATAATATTTTGGTTTTCTGATACGCAAAAAGGTTTGATCATTAAGTACATTGTTCCTGAATCGAGTACAACTCGAAATTTGATAACAAAGAAGTCGTTATTGCTTGCTTTTACACTTATACTTATTCAAGGTTGTCGAAGATTATATGAATGTTTATATGTTAGCAAATTTTCCAAGCAAGCTACTATAAATTTATTTCATTACTTTCTTGGTGTTTTTTTCTATATTTTTGAGCCTTTAACTATTGTTTCAAAAATTGGTGCAATTGAAAAATTACCTTCTGGTGATATCGAACTGAGACATTTTGTTGGAATAATTCTCTTTGTTGTGGCCTCATATTATCAAAATCAAAGTTTTCATATATTTGCTAAGTTGAGAAAAACTTCTGATAAATCTGAATATAAAATCCCCACTGGTGATCTCTTTGAATTTGTGTCCTGTCCTCATTATTTCACTGAAATAGTGATCTACACTGCTCTGACATTCATAGTAGGATTTTCGCACTATTCTTGGAGATATGCTATTGTTTTTGTCATTGTGATACATATTGGAATGGCTAAAATGTCTCATGAATGGTATTTATCAACATTCAAACAATATCCAAAGCATAGAAGAGCACTGATTCCTTTTGTATACTGAGAGAGAACACAATCTTCTCCTACCCCAGTCAAAGTATCATTTGCAATAAGTCCCGACCTGGATTTGAAATTTGTCCCCGAATCGACCTAATGCAACTCAGCAGGTATTTAGTTGATATGCTCAGTTTATGTAACATACAGGGTGTCCAAAAAGTTCCGTCTTCCCCTAATTTTTACCCATGGCTTTTGCTTGGTCAAAATTTTGTTAGCAAAAGCATGTTCAATCTATTTTGTCAAATTTAAGTTGTATTAAACACTTATCTATGCATATATATATACAATACTTATCTTGATTTTTTAGCAAATTTTCGGTCAATATTTTATTAAAATAGAAAATTGTGGCATTATTCATCCCTGTTGTATGTTTTCAAAGAGCAATTTTCATTTTTCCTATTTTCTCAAACACTAAATTGTTATTGTACATGCTACTGTAGGCAAGTTGAGAACAAGGATTTGTCGGCATAGGCCCAAATCTGCTCGTTTGTTGGTACTCATCTTGTCCTGAGATATTTATTTTCCCTGTTACTGATAACAGAAGTCATTTTTAATCCAATTCATAGGAGATTAATTGAATCATGGTATTAACATATTTGGCTCTGTATTGTAGAGAAATGCATTTAGTGTTCTCATTGCTCGAAATTTAATATAGGCCTACAATTTGAAATTATCATCTTGGTTCTTTAAGTTATATTTTATCAGCAAATTGAGCTAATTGAAATTTTCTAATTTTTTAGATATTCAAATTTTTTTTAATTCCACCTTTATACAAGTCTAGTTTAATGGGAAAATCGAGTAAAGACAAGCGTGATATTTATTACCGATTAGCAAAAGAAGAAGGATGGAGAGCACGCAGTGCATTCAAATTATTACATTTAGATGAAGAGTTCAAATTTTTGAACAAAAGTGTTGAACGAGTGGTTGACCTTTGTGCTGCACCAGGCAGTTGGAGCCAAGTTTTGACAAGAACATTAAGGTGAATAATCAAGTTATTTTTTGTCATGGCATTAATACTGGAATATAACATTTTATTTTCTTGACTGAAGGATTCTTAAATCCAAGAAGTTTAATAAACTAAGTTCTTCTGGTTGCATGTATGTTATACAAAGTCTTATATGCTACTACAAATAAACATTGTTTTCTGAAGATTCAATTTATGTTCCCTTGCATTTTCACACTTGTTAACTTGTAGAAAAAATGTTTCAGAGGGCCCACTGGACAAGAGAATCCAAATGTAAAGATTGTAGCAGTAGATTTGCAGGCAATGGCTCCTCTACCTGGTGTTATACAAATACAAGGAGATATCACAAAGGCAAGATGTTGTTTTAAAAGAAATTTAACTCATGGCTTTATTTCTCGTGTGACCTAGTTTTTTTAGAATATTCATTTTCAAGTTTTCTTTCTTCAATAATGTTAGGGCCTACCACTCAGAGAATCAGGGAGCATGGTTGGTCTTAAATGAATAGTCACATCAAAATTGGAGTGCCAATATCAAAATAGCATCGTAATTGTAAATCTCAATCATAAAGTTGAATGGTGTCAGATTAGACTAGATCAGGGGCGGGCAACCTTTTTCGACTCGTGTGCCAAATTCCAAAATCGGCTAAGTTGATCGACAAAATTGTTCCGCGTGCCAACCAAAATTAAAAACCATGCTTTACCACTCTTGAGGCAGAGATACACAATATTAAACCTTTCAAACACGTACGGACAGATACACTAATCGGTGTAATATCAGTCCGACAAATAGATTCGAATAACGTATTGTTTACAAACGATAATGAATAAACGAACACCTCGTTTCATCAGATAATTCATAGTCTTGAAGCTTTTTATCTGAAGTAGAATGATCTCGTTCCCGAAGCCTCCCTTGCGTGCCGAATAAATGGGCCTGCGTGCCAAGTTTGGCACGCGTGCCAGGGGTTGCCCACCCCTGGACTAGATCAATATGTAATCTTGTAAACTCATTTTGAATTTCTGTGGGTCTGAATAATGAAAATATCAACATGCAATTGTCATTTGGACACACTCCAATTACAAAAGTCTACTTCATATTATGCTATGTATATATCATCACACAGATTTTTAGATGTATAATTTGTGCATTTGAATTACCATATGTTTTCATTTGTAATCCATTCGTACACCATAGGTTTCAACAGCAGAAAGTATTGTTGATCATTTCAAAGGCGAACCTGCAGATTTGGTTGTTTGTGATGGGGCACCGGATGGTAAGTTTCTTTCTTACTGTTTAATCCTGACCTATGACCTATTGCTTTTATCTTTTTTAAGAGGCATCATATGAAAAAATGATAAATAACCAACAAATTTGTATATTTTGAATTAAATATTACAGGTAAGTAATGATTTCATGACAGTACAGGAGAACTCAAATATATTGACACAAAGTCAAATCTTGAGACAGTGTTCTTTCTATTTAGAATAAAACAGCAAAAATTGGTTTTAAAAATCGGACCCCAAATGCATCATAAAAAAAATTGAAAATATATAAAAATTATAGACTTTCATCGACTTCTTTCATCTGCAAGATTTAAAAATTTGCAATCGGTTGGTCCATTAGTCCTTCCTTCACAACAACAACTACCACAGCAATTCTGACAACATAAATTAGGAGAACAACTCATAAGTACACTTCATATCCAAAATGTAATCTTAATTGTGAAGACAATAAGTTTGATTAATCGACATGAGTGATTATGAACCAGTCAAGATTCAAATTGGCCAAGGTGGGAATGGAAAGACCAAGCTTTATTCTGATAATTGTAGAGAACCAAGATTTTGCAGGTTACCGTACCTATTTTAGATTTATTTTAGAGTTACATCTCATCATAATATAAATTTCTCATTTGTTTTTAGTTACTGGACTTCATGACATTGACGAGTATATTCAAGCTCAATTACTTTTAGCTGTAAGTTACAATTTTACTCTTTTATATTTGTAGATTGTTATCTTATGTACTGTTGCATTTTATACCAATCACAGGTTGATATTTTGTTACTTACATGTTATATACAGTATAGACAATGACTGATTATCAGTGTTGAATATATAACAAATTAATTATTCTTCTTGTCAGGCATTGAATATAACAACTCATGTACTGAAGAAGGGAGGAACATTCATTGCAAAAATATTCAGAGGTTAGTTTTGAATATTTTTTTTTTCAGAATTTAATCCATAATTTATCAGTTTATAAATTCTGCCACAGAGCCAAGATCATCTGTAGCGACATTCTACGTTGACTGGTGTTATGTATATATTATTCAAGGCCAACGTCAACAATTAGGTATCTCTGTGCCCAAATAAATTTTGCTCAGTACAAGGCTCTGTACAACCATTGACTGATATCTAGAGAGAGCTACAATTTTTGGAGAGACCGGAATCTTTTTAGTTTAGCATTAACCAATTTATGTCTCAAGTGAGTTGGTGGTCATGGAATTTGAACTAGTGGTCTTTAATTCGCTGTGTCAATTCGCTGCATAGTCAAGCCAAGATTTCTGCGAAATAGAGTAATTGGTCATTACTTGAAAAAGGCATTGCTATTAGTGAATAGTTTTTCACTATGTTTCTGGACTCTGGCATTGAATTTACCACACATGAAAAAACATTCATATTTCTTATTTTCTCCATATAACTGTAGTTAAGCCTACTATTTCATTTTAGGAAAAGACGTTTCTCTTCTTTTCTCTCAATTGAAGATGTTCTTTAAAGAAGTAACTTGTGCAAAACCTCGAAGTAGTAGAAATTCAAGCATAGGTAAGTTATTGAGTTTAATATTATAAATCAGAAGTCTTCAAACTGCTAAAAAATTTATTTCTGCCCACCAAACTCACTCTTAATGCATAAAAACCAAAATTGTTCTTAGATTTAATATTATCGGTGCACTATTTTATGTTGTAACAATCGGTGTATAAGCGAAAGCACATACCAGTTGTGCCAACTTGTATGTCGTCTACTTGTCGAACATGACTAACATTAGTTGGCAGTTCCCTATAATTTAAAGCTATTTTTTTTGTTGCGGAGCACCGGTAAATTAATCTGGCCCGCTTGCTATCGGATATGTGCATATTTTTACCCAGCAATAAGTAAAGTTTGCCGACCACTGTTATAAATGAACATACATACTTAGCAACTGATTTTGTAGGCTCATTGATAGCTCAACCTCAGCTAGGAGGCGAACAGCTTATTTTAGGTGTAGCGTATCATTACTGTTTTGTATTACAGAAGCCTTCATGGTTTGTCAAGAATACAACCCTCCTGAAGGTTTCAAGCCATCCATGGCGAATCCTTTGTTAAATCATGATTACGATGATTATTCAAATCAACTTGTTGGTGCAAACAGATGTATTTTACCATTCTTAGCATGTGGAGATTTAAGCGGATTTGATTCAGATCGTACTTATCCGCTACAAGTGAGAGGGCTTATTTACTCATCATTTACGGTGCAATTCAAAATTTTCATATGGAGATAAATGAGTTAGATTCCCCTGGTATTCATGTTGTATGATGACCAGGTAAATGTAATTCATTCTTGACTCAACCGAATTGGTAACTGTACAGTTAGCGCAAATAGGCAACAAACTAGGGGTTTGTTGTATACTAGAATTCATAACTCGCCCATTCATTTTGTTCTAATCTATTTCTATTTTTATTAAACAACATCCTTGACTTTTTGTGATATCTATACAGTAATTTTCTTGAATATTCTTCTCATCTTACCTCATATTTTATCCTTTATTTAGTTGGAAGATGGTAAAGAGTATGTTTATCATTCACCTACACAACCACCTATTGATCCACCATATAAAGAAGCTTGCAAGTTGAAAGCTGATAACAAACTTGCTAAAGAATCAAAATCATGATACAGGACAGGATATTCAAGGTAGGTTCTATTACCGTATTTCCTGGCGAATAAGTCTACCCGGTAAATAAGACGAGGCCTGTTTTTAAGCCTGAAAAAATGAATTTTTGCATATAACCTCCCAGTTAGACGGGCAGTAAAATCGGAATCTCAAATTACCGTGCAACATCTCCTGAGAGGTAGCGTAATATTCAATCCATGACAACTACGAGAATTTAAACTGTCTTTTAATTTTAATCTAATTGTGCTCGACGTAACACGGCAATCTGTGGACATAATAATGTGAGATAAACTACCTGATTATATTTAGTTTTGATACATATTTTTGCGCTCTTGCGAATTCGTTATCGCCATTATAAAAATCAAGTCTGCAATCAAAAATTTATTAGTCTGCAATAAGCCTGCCGTAACACTGCCTCTTCCTGGTTTTTGACACTGACACCATTGTTTAATATTCCATATATTTACCTGCGGATTTGTTAATGCTGATCAAATATTTATTGAACAATTTTATACAATAACAGTATGAGTTAAAGAAAGCAGTTGTGCAACATATTTACCATACAAAAGATGGAAAAAATAACATGTGCAAAGAAATATGTAGTTACAATATTAAAAGGTATTGCAATCGAAATTGATGTTAATGGCAATTGTGAGCGATACTTGGAAAGAGATTTCATAATTTGCTCATTATTTTTAATAATAACCTTTAGGAATATGCTTTTCAGAGCACTGGCATTTATTTCTGTCGTAACGTTTTGCAAGTTGAAATTCGATCAGGGATGATTGTGTGCTAGATGATTTCTGTATTCCATGTTACATGGCAGTTCATGTATTCAGTTATAGTTTATGGTTTCATCTATCTTCCACGGTCCCAACTTTTGGTATATACAAAATATTCTGTTTTTTCTTTTTAGACTCTTTCTATGAATGAGCGCCGATGATGGAAAAGAAATATCCTGTCATGTTGCCAATGGGCCATTATTTCTGGGGGAAATGGTTGAAAATACTGTAATATGATCATGCAAAACTGTATGAAGGTCTAACATATGTCATATGTAGAGAGTAATTTATCCAAAGCTTGGTTTTAATACACTTGGTTGCTTTGTGCCAATAGTATCAATTTTTGTGAAATATGGCTATGTAAAAATTTGCTCTATTGCTGTAGAAATGCTCTGCCGATTCCGAAAATAAAAATACCACTTTACCACTTTAAAATTTCAATAAACAGCTTAGTAATAAGAAGAATTGTTGTGGCTTGTGTTTGGTATTAATACATTTACGGTACCTTAGTGAATTGCTGCCAGTGTTGGGCACAAGTTCGAAAAAACCCCGAGTCACCATGGGGGGTCAGTCGATTTGTGAATTTTAAAGCTGAGATCCCAAGTTCAAGTAATTCATAGTAGATTTCTAATGCAATAGTGAAATGGTTAGATATGATTTAATTGAACAATCAGACTCCAGTTAAATCAAAGTTAATCTGAAAATCGAGCAAGGATCTTATCATATTGATGACGTCCGTCTAGTAGGCATCCATCAGTCTGATTTCCAATCATTATTTAAAAACTAGAGAGTTTCAAAGACTTGCCGGCAGTAACTCATTTTTAAATTGTTGGAGTATCTGAAGACCTTGAATGGAGTCTCCCAAACACTGGTTGCTGCAGCGTTCGTTCTTTAAGGAGAGACCAGATCTACCGTAGTTTGGTTACAGTTTTTGTGTCAACAATTTATACAAAAAAGGCATTCATGAAACAAAAAATATAGAATAATGGAATACGTGTTGTTGTTTTTTCGTGAAAAAAAAAAGTTTATATATGCAATATCTCCTAATTTCCAGTGCGTAAAGATGAAAAAAGCCGTTAAAAGGAAATTAGTTTCCTTCCGCCAAGCTTGTCCGCCATTTCTCAGCAAACACGGCGCACAGCTTACTTGCTTAGGGCCTTTGTGACCACATGACGCGTTGGACCTCCGGAAGTATGTGTACCAAGAGGGCGCACAACATTAACAAGAATGTGTACCAGGTTAGGGTTCAGGTTGTGCGCCATGTTGGTGCGCATACTTCGGGAGCGCCCTACGTTGATGTTGTGGGTGAAACATCTTGTGTTCGCTCCCATGAGTAACATCCCCTTGGGTAGGTAACGCTGAACCGTCCATACAAAATTGGAGATGTTTACGAATAAAAATGGTGGTTCTATAAAGAAATGATGCCTTTTGCATGATTGTTATCAATATGATATTCATAATTTTCTTGTGAAATAAGGTTAAAATTTCATTCCTTGTATTCTGGATGAATTTTAAACCAGTGCGTCGTGATGTCCAGGTCCAAGTTATATTTGCTGATAAGTCTTACACATTTCCGGCTTTTCATTGAAGCCGGCAGTTGTCGATTGTTGTCAACAGTCGAAAAGGTAAACAATGCTAGGCGAAACATACTTTGCCGTCCCACTATCAAACAGTTGTCTGGTCCGCTTTAATCTTCAGTGGCACGTCTTTAAAAAATTTGGAATATAAAGATATTTGAAATCAAGCATCGTGCATAGATTATATGTTAGTATTTTTCCTTCAGATAAAAATTATGAAAAAAGAATGGGTGGTCCAACAAAGCAGCTGAACTGCTGAAATTTATTTTGGCTAATTATTATTAATAGGATAAAATCGAGGTGAGAGAGGTGGAATTTTCATTTGAATAGGCGAATAATTTAATACATAGTGCTAAGATTACCTTCACTATGCGGTGCGCTCCCGTTCCTCTGTTTTCTTGATTTTAATTCATCGCTGGACATCTGGGATGTTCCTTTCCCACTCACTACTATTTTTGTTAACCGCGTGCCAGAGAACAAAGATCGAGTTCTTTCGTGAGATCTGATTTGTCTGTAAAATAATAATTATTTGTCGTTTACTAAATTGTTTTGACACCAGCGGGTTGTAAATCTCAAGTCCAGGTTTAACAGCAGTGAAATCGTGTCAATTACATTATATATATATACAGTGTCTTTAAGAATCTTCTAGGAGTGAAAATATTTTATCTTCCCTCGATGATACATGTGCTCGCGGAAGTGAAACAACTAATGTGTATATATATATGTAACTTTTCGGTCGAAGACTCACAAACTGGGAAGACTTTTCTTTGACCGCAAAGTAACTTCGCTATTGAATATTTATTGAATATTTAGAAAATTGGGACCTCCTGAAGTATGCGCACCAAGATGTCGCACAACCTGAACATAGTATGTGTACCAGGTTAAGGTTGTGCGACATGTTGGTGCGCATACTTCAGAAGCACCGAAAATTGTTTATACTTACTTCAGTCTTTTTCTAAAAGATCCAAGAAAATTGTACATAAAAGGATTTAGAGCAGAATTAGCGTATGCTAGAGTGAGAAACACAACAAAAGCAGAGTTGCAGAAATTCTAAAAAAAAAAAAGAATTTAATGACATGATAATAATTACTAATCAGTAATAATCTATTACCCAAATATTTAAACTTGTTGAGTAGTTGTTATCTAAAGGGAATAGGGATATCCGTATAGATCAGAGTTCCCCAACCTTTTATGGCTCGTGGCCGCCTTCCGGAGGCTTTCGGCACTCACGACCCCCTGTTTATTATTCCAGTGGTATTTTGATTGGAAGACTCCGAATCCCATTATGTTCAAACAATTGATCAGCAGAGTAAAAACATCCTATGGAAATAACTTTATCAAGCAATGAAACTAGGAAAAACGGGGCGTTTTTTTTATAAAATGAAAAGTAAAATCAGTTTTGCGCCTAGCATTGTGAACCCCTCCCAACTGCTCTTGGGGGGGGGGGGGGGGGATGAACATAGCCATGTTATCAGCAAAAGTTCTTTTGCTTGTAACGATGAAACGATTGGTTAGGTAATATTCTAGAGATATTGTAGGCTAGTTTATTTTAGTTGTTCAAGCTTATGATTTGCAATGTGTTTAAGCATTAATTAATAGACTATTCCCACAATCTACACGGACTGGGCACCGACTAATGGCAGTGTTTGCTATAAGATTAGGCCGCGTTCAAGCCTACCTATCAATGGTGATAAATATGACAAATCTATCCTTTCCAGTAAATGTAAAACAGAACAGTTTTAGAGCTTACCATTCGTGATTCACACATATATTATTTTGGAATGAGTCTCAAATACTATTTATAACACGATAATAAATGAAGGCAATTTGAAAAGAACATTAAGAAAATATTTGTACCGGATATGGAGTCGAGAATCCGTCAATCATTGCCAACATCATCGAATGGTACGGTAGCCAGCATACAACAAATACCACCACCAAAATAGCGCAGAGCATAGTGATTCTCTTTTTATCTTTCTGTGATCGACCCGTTGATGAGATAGAAGAGGATTTCCTGGATTTGAAAATTCCCCTTTTCGCTTTAGAGTTATGTTCTTCAGTATGTGAATCACTTGTCATCATTTTGCTTCTCAGTTGAAAAACGATTAAACCGTAACAAATCGTAATAACCTGAAAATAGATATTTTAACAGTAATATTTTATTACAATAGTATTAGTAGCATTAAGAATCAAAAACTATTTCTATTGAAGTCCCCTTTGGCCCTGCTCCTGTCAATGTCACTTAGCTCCGCGTTAAGGGTGAAATAAGTTGTGCATTTTGCTCTAATTATTGTAGGCTATACCCAATTAGAGGATTTATTGTAAATAGGGTATTGTTTTATAGCTATTTATTATTTTCCAGTAGAAAGTTCCTAAATACAGTAAATAAAAGCCTATACTTACAACAAGCGGAACAACAAAAAACGCTATAAAGTTGGCCAGAACAAAAGGTGTCATTCCAGGCTGGAGTGAAGTATGCTTGCAGTGAAATTCTGTTTGCTCTTCGTTTCTATAATTAAAAATGACTTTTTTCAAAATTGACAGCATTTTCAATAGGATTTCATTCCAGCGCAAACTTAACCACTTCGTTAAGCGCGTCGCTAAAGAATCTAACCATGTTTTAAAGACACGGAATGCGCTTGTGTTGGTAATAGCCTACAACAGTATTTATCACTACTGTTCTTCAAAAGCTTAGTTACTTCAAGTTCATGGATCGTGGGGTGGTATACTTTATCAGTATAGCAATACAAGATATGCTTTTAATGGGGATTGTCTGCTACATTTTTGAACTATTATTTTCATATTATTTTTTCAGTTGGGCAATTCGAACAAAGTATCTTTAACTAGACAAATTACTCACTCAGTTTCGCCTATCTCTTCTCCGGAGAACCCAGAATAGTCACCATATTCAGGATAATCATATTCCGAGGAGTTCCCCATATCAATCGGCTGTGTTATCGTTGGTGTTGATATTTCAGCAGACTTACATGTTGGCGGTTTGTATCTTAAGATGAACGTCGTGTTCAGGCACTCATTCACATCGTTTCTTGGATCAAACTTTTCACACCAGTTTACAGGACTTTCTGGAAATACTAATCTGAAATACGGGGATATTTTAATAAAGTTGAGACAGTCGTGCCACGAACAATAAATCTTCTTAATAACACACACAAAATATATATGCGAAAGAGTCCCCATATATATATATAGCGTGTGTGGTTTCAATATGAAAGCTGTTTTATCTTTCAAACAGTGCACGTTTTTGTCCTTAAATATAATCGCTTCTTCAAAAAAGTGTGTCGATTCTTTAGACGAAGATAATATAAACTTTGGTAAAATTTGAATGCATTTTATCTGGTTATGAAAAGCGGATTATACAGGGTTTGCATAAAGTCTCTTCACAATTTAATAAATTTTCCTTCGACGTTACCTTCTATATTATTCCTTTGCAAATGCAAATGATAAGAAATTATCGCAATTTCAATGAAAATGATGGAAATAAATATATATAAAAAATACGAAAAAAATCTAACCTGCATCTGCAATGTGGCTCTAACCCAGTTGTTCTGGTATATAACATGAGTGGAATGCAGAGGACTAAGCAGAGTATCCAAGTACAAAGAGTGATCATATTGCATTTTTTATTTGATCTCAAGTTTTGTACAAATTGCTTTTGGCCATGGCAAACTGCAAGGTATCGGTCGATTGCCATGATCTAAAAAATTATAGTTTCAGGTTATTATACAATACACACTTTCCACTTGACTAGAGCATTTGCGAAATACATGCTGGATATGAAAATACACAGGTGCCGATGGGAATACAACTAATCTTGGCGCTCCGGAAGTATTCGTACCAAGATGACGCACAACCGGAACAACGCTAACCTGGTTCACATACTATGTTCAGGTTGTGCGCCATCTTGGTATGAATACTTCGGGAGTACCTTAATCCTAATTGTTCTCAATTGTGAGAATAAAAGATACGATTTCCAGTGGTTTCCAACCTTATTTTCGAGTGACCCAATTTTTTTTTAAATAAATTTTGTAAAATCTCGCAGGACAAGCTCAAATACTAAACGGCAACTTTGATGACTAATATAACACAATCATTTTTACATAACATTTATTATCCCAAAAATGACCCCAAACTGGGAAGGCAGCGAATAATGGGAGGGAGTAAGTTTATTTCTATACATTTTGCACACAACCTAGAATACATTGCCAATTGTGACCATATAGCAAATTGCAACGTTGCGCAATAGTTGTTAGCGCCACTTTTTCATATTTTACTTACAGAACACATGGAATAAACAGTATATATAGAAAATTGAGTGGATAAATTTAATTTTAGAAGTTTGCCAAGTGGTAAACGAGAAAAGGAAGGTTGAGACCCATTCTCTGGATTTAGTAATATATATATATTTTATTTTTTTTTTAATTTTTATCGAACCTCAAAATTTAACAACCCTATATACGGAACAATTTGGATTATTTTACGGTTGAACTAATTTCTTCGCCGAAACAGAAGATCGCCAATTTTGTGAAGTTTATGGCGAGCAGTCGTAGATAGTGTTAAAGTGCTCTACAGTGGCTTGGCCAAATTGGCCTTGCTGCATATTGCACGTTCTGATTTAAAAATTCGATATTCCATACAAATGCATGTGCTTTCTATACGCTTGAAATTTCCGTTGTGTATTTGGTAACCACGGTTCCATTACATTTGAACCCGTAATTTGAACCCACGACAATTGCACCTGCATACTATTGCACCTATAAAAATTTGCACCTACGGATATTTGAACCCATACTAACCATAACCCATGGATTTTAGAACCCACATATAGATTTAACCCGCGGATATACGGGTGCAAATGTATGGGCTCAAATGTACGTAGGTTCAAATGTGCTGTCACCGGTAACCACCATTGACAATTGTTGCATTTGCTTCATTGACGCAGAAATGTTTCAATGGCTTGTTATATTGATATCGGTTTTAGGTTTCAAATTCCATGCACTCGTGCATTGAATCAATCTCTTACTCATGGGAGCAGACACATTCAATTCCAGCGGAAGTCGGGGAAAGCCGGTCAAAATAAGGGCATGAAATATTTGATAATCATGCCTTATTACGTAGGAATTTGAAATTTGAATCCCATCTTATACAACATATGTACAACAGAGCCGTATTCTTCTATGTTGAAAATGGATTAGTTTTGTACTAAAAATCATAGTATGAACTGCGTGTCGGGTGTTTTCAGGAAAGTTAGATATCCTATACTGTGGGCCTTTTCCGCCATACTTCAAGTTTCTCTTTACAAATTTTCTTTTTTTTTTTTGTATAATATTGTTATCTCGAATTTTTTTTCAAACTTTATTTAATCTATGTTTATAACCAAATCACCTGTTTGCCCACCAAGTAAATGCATAGATTCGCTAATGCATTTGCTAGTCGTGACATAGGGTAATTCTCACTCCACCAAACATAAGGGACGTCGCAAATTTACGACATTTCATCCAGTATATTAGACACATGCAAGGCAAATAGTGCCACAAAAAATTTTCTTTCTATTTTATATGAAAATCACTAACAACTAATTTAATTTGAAATTATAACTTACCATTAAAAACAAGATGGATGAAAAGTAATTGAAATACAATATTGCATAACACACGGTGCAAAACCACGATCCAAACGCCCATCCTTTATGTAGCAATTGAGTCACCCAAAACGGAACTGTTTGCAAAAATAATAGATCAGCGAGCGCCAGTTGCAGAACGTACCTGAAAAATAAATAAATAATGCATAACTTCCTGGTTAGATTTCCCGATATATTTAAATCACTTCCTCCTGAGAAACCCAACATATATGTCAAGAGCATAATTTTGCAATCATATTTTAACAGAACGTTTTAACTCAAGTGAGACGTTTTTCAGAGAATCATTAATAGTTTTCTCAGAATACAAAATATACTGGAGTAGTTTGACTTTTGCGTATATAAAACCTTGCGCTACAAAAATACCGCCATTTTGAAACGTTGTCTTAGGTGTACAACTTGCACTCACGTTTTTCATATTCCCCATAATGAATAAATCAATAAATAATTGCACAACACTGATTAAAGTTTTTCTATAAAGCGATTTGGTAATTATTGATCAATATAATTAGGGTAAATGGTTCTCTTGCATCATGACGGTGGTATTTTTTCAATGATAGACTTTTATAACTGTTAAATATACCCTTATTTTTTGCAACATGTATGTGAACAAAAACAGTCTATATTTGGCTTATAAATCTTAATCGATACGATTCAATACTAATACATGTAGTTACGGGATATCCTGCTGCAGTTTTGTGACAAGGGCGCGGGGAAATTTTACCAAAAGCCAAGCAATCAAAATTATTGTCAAAAAAATTTAGCCTCGTCCTAATTGTTAGTTGCATAATGATTTGATAGAGTTGCAATAAAACATTTGAGGCCAGTCTAAACAATAACATTAGTACAGTTTCACAATTGAACGAACCCTTCTTAATTATAAATATGTATAAGTGATTCTAGGTTAGTTTGATTAGTTCTCTATATACGTTTTATATTTATGAAACACTTAAGCAACAATATCGATAAATAGTTTGTTTTTTCGTTTCCTAAATGAGTAAAACTTTATACCTTATCGTTTAAATCTGACAACACTAGAAGATTATATATTACGCATCATCGGAAAACGTATTTCTCGCACAAAGTTTTTATCTGAGAATATTAGACTGAAAAAAAACAAGAAAAGGGTGTGGAAACTAATTGTATTTTTTTTTCAAATTTTAATTGCAATACGACACAAATATGCTTGCTTTTTGTTAAGTGAGTGTAATACAATGTATTGTATTAGTTTTATAAAATATAATTTTGTAAAATTAAGAACTCAATATATCACGATTAGAAACTTGCACAATAATAAAGTACATAGACTCTGGTACATAGCTCATTTTTCGATTCCTATAATAAATAATATACGGTTTCGATATTTTTGCTTCTATGAAATTAATCATATCTCGTGCAAATACCAATCCAACGATTACATCACTTACATAATATTAAGTATAATTTAAATTCTATTTAATACATGAATAGTATTTTCATAATATTAAGGGGTGCTTTTTTATTAATATTGTAGTACTGGTATATATATTTGTCAGTTATTCAAATGGTATTTTCCGTTGCAGGAAAATGCCAGCATGTTCTATGTCGAAATGTCTCAATTTTGAACCTTGGCAGTGATACTGTGACACAATTTTATCACGTTGTTTACGAAATGATTGAAAACGTTTGTTAAATTTTACTTATTTTTATTCATAAGCAAGTTATGGCACAAAACCGCTTCTTTTGCTCCGGTTTTGTGAAGTAAAAATGCTTTTAATTTAAATATGACCCTTTGTCTCAGTTGACACAATATCAATGGCATAATGTTCAAGTCATCCGTTTTTTGCATGGATTCATATACATTTCTAAATAATAATACCATTTAGAGGTTGATCACGGGAAGCATTTATAGCGCCATTGTGAATTTACTTCCTTGAATAACCTCATTTGTGCTCTGCGTTTTTTTTATCACACCGTTCATATGAAAATTCAATCTATGGCAAGAATCTCAAGATAAAATTTGTCAAAATCTGCAGAATTTTCTGTTCCAAAACAATATAAATATTTTATATCAAGTGCATATACTATTGACATTAGGTCATGTGTTTTTGATTTTGACTTTGAGAAAGACCATTCCATCTTGAAATATAAGCATATGATTTGCAAATTAATTCCAAATGTTGTGTTCCTGTATTCTACTGTGAATCTAGGATAAAAAGCTTTCAAAATTAGGTTTTCAAAAACATTGCTAATCATCTAAATATGATGCATATAATGATATATATATATAGCACTGTGGTGTGAAAAAACAAGGAAGTAATTCTTAAATATATGCAGACGAAACTTGCGCATCCCAATGGTAGGGTAAAGGCCTCAGCTGGGCACGGTGTTTGCTGAAAATATCTGCGGACAATCGTGACGGATTAGGGTGTTACGTTCAACCACATTTAAATACTGAAAATAAATTTGGAATTAATTGTTCCCGATAGTTGCGGAGAAAAGCACACAACAACAACAAACCAAGAACGACTACTGCCCTTTTTCAAAACTACTCATATAGGTACATTTCAAGGCCAAAAAGCGCCTTTTTTACGAGAAAGACGAAAACATCAGGTTTTACATGAGACACCTCGGGTTCACATCGGCAAATATATTACTATTTGGAATACATGTGCGGATATAATTTTTACAATAGCAATTCTTACCAATGCGTTATTTTCTTGTATTCTCCCAGAAACAAAATAACGAAGATAACGATAAGATTTCCAACGGTTCCGATTACATAAGTAAGCAATCTGACAACTGCTTCCGCTATTTCTCCGGAAGTATTCCCATCCATCACGACCAGACAGTTGTACTATATAACCTAGCAAAGTGTTGAATGAATAAAATAGGTAAAGACAAAACGCACATTCAGTAAGGATTTTAAATATAAAAATGAAAGTTAGAAACCTTGTGCTGCATATATTATATATCTATTGAAAGCTGTATAACTGGCAATACATACTATTAGTTTCGCATTTAGTTTCGCATTTACTTTTTGTTTTGTCTCTAATTGGGTCCTTTCTATCTTTACAGAAAATATATACATAGTATTCATATGAATCAACTGTACAAACTACGTCAACGTCATAAACTTCGACGTTATACAACCCATGACATCACAATTTCCATACATTTGCTGACTGAACTTTCATCTGCCTGAAATCGCCATTGTCAAGGCTATTGTAGTTGAAACGAGTATAACAGACTATAATACTATTAGTTCCCATTTACACTTTCTGTTTTGAATCTCATTGAGTCCTTCCTATCTTTACAGAAAATATATACAGTATTCATATGAACCAACCTTACAAACTTTACGTCAGCGTCTTTAACTTTGACGTTATAATACAACTTATGACATCATAATACATTTGAGAAATGAGGTTATGGTCATGATTTAACTGAACTTTCATCTGACTAGTTGCAATTCTACTATTTATATCTTACTACGTTATCATTCAATAGCCAACTTTAGCGATATGTCTGGAACTTATAAAACAATCACAACTTACTCGTTTCTATGCAATTGTTTGATTGATTACCTTGACTTAGAATTTGATTCCAAACGTCCAAAATCAATTTTCCAGTTCAAAATTGTGACGCTACTAATTGAAATTTCAATTTGAAGCTGTTTCGAAATGTTAAAATATCAAACAAACTGTGGCCTGCGTTACAGGGATTAGTGCCGTTTGTGAGATAACCAGCCGCGCAAATTAAGTAAATATAAATGGTCCATAACTACCGACTATATCTTATAAAGCGACCGCTTCTATCTTTGCTTTTTCTTTATATGTACTAACCATAGATATTTGTATACCTGAGGTGAAAGCAGCAAAATTTCTACTCATTTTCGACGTAACAATTTATAGGTATCATTTTATTTATGCCATCATAATAACTTGTTATCCTAACATTTTCCCAGAAAAATGACACTGATTCCCATTCCTAAAATTAGTGGAGCTTTCAAAGTTACATTTGCGCGTCCAAAAGTCAACAATTTTTTTTTTATGAATTAAATAAATTTTCGTTACCAATAAATGAATAAGGACGATGCCAGTTATTTATCGCAATTGAATTTAAAAGTAGCTCATACAACTCAGAATTGCCATGTAAAACTAAATAATACGGGCCCTATACTACATCGTGTGGCTCCATCAATGTTCAATACTCGAACTGACTGTGCACCATCATGTATTTTTCCGACTGATACATAGAAGAGGTCATATTCGCAGAAATTAAATACACCCGTTTGTTAGTTTTACAATTGATGAGCGTTTTCCATCGTTTCCTGGGATTCAAATCAATTTACCTGATAGATATCGTGTAATGACACACCAGGAAGACTATTTTCTCGGTAACCTGTAAACCTATGTGAGTCAGCTGATGATGCTAGCTAAATAGAATTTAAAAACCATCCATCGATGTTTCTTTCAGAAATATGTTGGTCCGATATATAGAATGGAAACAAAGTCTTGTACCATGATTCAGGGAAATGTATACAGATATTTGCGTATGTATGTTCTGCTTAGTACAATAACGTACGGCACATAATTCGTCAGCATTTATTGTACAACGTTTGTGACGTTTGGTGACATTTTCAGAAAGGCTCTAAATTTGTTAGAATATTTACTTCATGTAATTCGATTCGTCTTTCCTACGTCGTTCCATTTCAGAATTAACGACAGGCCCAATTCAGAAACTATTTATTCAGGAGTCTTAATAGCTTGGCCGGCCCGACAATCTATGCGCTGTGTATATTGGGTATACTGAACTGTTAAGTTTGTCTCAAACTGAATATTAACTCCCACATATAAATGACTTTTCTAGTTCCTTTTCGGAGCGAGTATGTGAACCACCTCATGAGTCAAACGTCTGAACTAAATTCAAATATTTCTGTACGGCAAGCCAAATACTGAATGAGACGGTTATTTTTATAGAAATCGTGCGATCTTAACGTACTGGGAGAAATATCTAATCCTGGTCTTTTTACATTCTGCAATTATTTAAACTTACAAGATGTTTTATCGCTTCCCTGAAAAGCGAGGGTTACATTCGTATCTCTGCTTTTCATGCCACGCTAACTGTGGTTTTTTAAACGTGTCTATGTACAAATAGTCGTTAATTGACAACCTAATCATTTCTATGACTTTATCGAAGCAGATCGCATGAAATATTAATTAGTATCACTTGCATGCGGGATCAACGGAATAAATAGGAAGCTCAAAAATGTGTATTCATTTAGAAACTTTATCATTTTTTGATTTAAATTTATTAATATAAATTATTCTTGGCAAATGGAAGTGTTTAAAAAAAATAATCTAAAGACAAATCATTACTAGAATAAATCAACTTATTCCTAATATAATTTTTCTTCTCTTACAAAATTAACTGAAGTTGTTACGTTACTTTAAATGTAATAAACACATCAGCAAACTATAAAGCTATCTAAACCAAAGCTAACTCTTGTAGCGATATATTACAAATGCTCTTTTCATCAAGTGTTCGCGTAATATAAGACCATTTATTGTAATATATTTTAAAATGCAAAGATAAAACGCGTTTTCTTTTTTATATTGCAAATTGTTAAACCAATTCAGTTTATTCAATAAATTAAGGGATTTTTATATGTTCGAATGTCATAGGAACTTAACATAAAATATGTTCTTTGAACATTATTAAAAATAGGTTTAAAAATATATGTGTATTATAACTGTTATTGTTACGTAACAGAGACTATCGATAACCACGTAATGCAAGTGTAATAAACTATATCAATAAACGCAAATGTCGCCATTTTAATATTAATACCATTTTATCTCCGTGCATACTTGAATTCAGTTGATATCGGACGTGAACGTGCGTTATGTTAAACGTGCTTACGTAAAACTATTTGACGTTTTTATTGGGTGTGAAGATTAATTACCCTCAGTGCCATTATTGCTCGAAATGAAAAATCAATACCTTTTTATAATTATAGTAAAAATCTCAGAAAGTGATTATACTTCAATGGTCCTTATATAGTATACAACATCATCACGACTTGAGTTTCTAAGCAGACTGTTGCATTATTAAACTGCATTAATGTGTCAATTGACTTTTTCTAGATTTTCATTATTTTTCTAAACTTTCGAATCGTAGTATCGACTGAAAATTTTCGATTAAGTCATTATCGGACTTAATGAAATAAGATTGAATAACTTTAGTTGTCGATAGACTCTGATATAGCTATCAAACAGGGTTCATATAATGTGATTGCTAAATTGGCGGGTATAAAAAGGAAGATTCTTAAATCCCTTCTAGCTTCTGGGAAGTGGGAATTTCCCCCTATTATATTGCTGATAACCTTTCACCTCTGGGCATCTAAAAATAATTTTGTTAACAAAATCCTAATATTACCTCAAAGTTGCCAGGTATTGAACAAACAAAAAACAATGGAAAATTGTTTTGAGCTCATTGAAAACTAAACCTTTGACTATTATGAATCATTCTATCCCCTTTGGAGATTTGGCATTATTTATTTTCAGTGGTGAAACACATTCCTTGAGCAATTCAAATCTGCGATATATTGATTTACTGCCTCATACAGCACGTAAACCCAGTTATGATCTGTCCTCAAATATAGTGTGGATGAGTGGGTGCTATACGACGGGAAATGAAACAAAAACATCGAATGAAAAGCTAAGTGATCGCACAAAACTACTTTGATAGAGATTTATACCGGTGATTTTCTCAATTTTAAATATTTTTAAATATTTAGGTAAAAATATGCATAATATAAAGTATTCGGCATACAAATACTGACTCGAACTCAATTAAACTGTGATTAATTGCAATTCACTTAAGAGAGGAAGTAACGAAAAGTTACTTCCTGTGAGCCACCTGTTATATATTACATGTCTGATTTATTACTGTTTGCACACTTAAACTAGTCGAGTTCATAGGTTATAGGTCACAGTTAAAGTTCGATGCAAAATGAAACATGACATGCTGATGTTACAGAATATGATAATGTATTCAAGTATAGCCTTTTCAAATGGTTTTATTCATTCCATTTTTTACTATACTTTGTAAGTATCAGTGACTATCATAAATATGAAATGCATTGTATGTATTCATGTTACTGCCAACGCATCAATCAAGCTAACACTATTCATAACACGTTACGTTATTCATCTTAGATGGATTCATTCAAATATGTACATAAGCTCCAAGAATTTATTAGATATGAGACTAAAAAATGCCATAAATGCCAATCTTGGTACTGAATGAAATGTCAATTTACGATCATACAAATTGTACCAAAAATTTTCACGTGTTCATAACTGTTGGTTCGTTTCCAACCTTAGAGACAATCTTCGGATATTACGTCATCGAACGATCTTGCGCACATCAAGATATTTTTTTATCTAGAAGGTCACCGAAAAGGGCTTAATTTCGGTTAATTGTTCCGATAATAAATAATTTATCCGTTAAAAACGTTTTGGCAATGAAAATATTGTAAGATTTAAATGAGTTCGTTTTACTTACACCCTTAATTATTATTGATGAAATTTAACAAATGTTGCCAATTCTGAATAGATACGCAACTTTCTTTAAAAAAATAGAAATGCGCAAATTGATCCGAAGTTGAAGTATTGTGATAAAGTTTCCACTCAAATCATTTCTTATTTTCGCGAAAAAGGAATTTAATAGAAATATGTCGTTATACTTTATTGTACTATAGATTTGGAGTAGTGTTTGTAATAAACTGAGAAATCTTGAGTAAGACAGAAATTCCCTTGATAATTGTTTGATAAAATGTAAAACCTAGCGAATAAATTATTATACTGATTTTAATTTAAATTTGAAGTTGATTATACATGTTTACTCGGTTACAAAATTCTAGTATAAAACATGCTAGCATTCAACTAAACAAAATAAATATTAATTCATTTCAATCATCGCATTGCATCATAATTAGAAAATCGAGAAAATAAATATATAATTTTATATTACAATATATATCTGTATAAATAAATGTTAATACATGATCGTTGCCTTATCATTTGCACGTGATAAATTTTAATTTTACTAAAGAAGATATGTCAAAATGAGCAGGCTGGCGAATAACTATCGAACTTCCAAGCTCTATAATATTTTTAGTTTCGGCAACTTTTCTTCAAATAATGATCCAATCAATTTCAAATTTCCAGTAATTAAAGAAGTCGCAAGAAGACTATTACTCTTTTGTTTCCTCGGACCATACAGGTCTCTCCCTATATTTTGCCTACTAAAATGAATTGAAATAAAACAAAAACTATAACACAATTGAAAATGATATAAATATGGCTAACATACTTATGAATTCTGGAATATACAGTATTCAGGATCAGGGGTTCCCTATATATACCACCGTTTCCGGTCTGCGAAGAACTTTTACTTCTTTTTTTATAATTTTTCTGCCATCGTAAACTCCTGGGTACCGAAACACACGAAATTTTGTTGCGCAATCAGGTTTGTCGTCTGTCGGTAAATTGTGTGTTTATTGAGTACGTAATTGTCATCCGGCGACCGGGCTTTGGACTTCCCAGACTCCTACAAGTGCGATTAATTTTTTTCATATTACCGCATTGATTACCCTTTTTTAAATGAAGAATTCCAGACCACCGTCAACAACAGTAAAAAAATCGCTAAATATTTTTTGATTTATATTTTCATTTTTCAATAATATCTACAACGAACAAATATAATTATTATATTGAGATTTCTCACATCATAAACTGTTTTCCAGGATTACGAGACTGATTTTTTTAGTCTTTCAATCTACCAATCTCCTGTTGCTTAAAATGAGGGAAAGAATTTACATTCCACCTATAATACAACAGTGAGTCTACATATGCCGTTTTAAAGAAATGTATAATCTAATTTTGAGGTATTTTACATGTTAACTCGGGACAGCCCTAATAGCCGCGTAGAGGCTACTGCAATTTTTGAAAAACGCGAATTGCTTCATTTTCTTTATCAATGACGTACGTGTGAAGAAAGTGGTGGTCTTAAACTGGACATGAGTTCAACCAGACATTGAAAACGATAAATCTTGTCTGGGATGCAAATTTACTAAGAGACTGTTGTACAAGCGACTAACAAGAAGAACATCAAACTCATTATCGTTACTCAAGATCAATTTGAATAATTATTCAGCTAATGACTTTTATGCAAAAGTACTCGGCAAAGAGTAACAATCTAATCAAACTTTATATATTATTCATTTCTGAGCCCATTAAAGTTCAATACTTCTCTACAACATGACAAGTCAATTATTTAGTTGTTTGATAAAGTTGATCAGATTTAGTGATGTTTTAAACTATATTACAAGGATTATAGCCTTTTCTGGAAGACATATTTGTTTCCCGTTTCAAAATTGAAAGATATGAGTTGGATAAACTAAACAAATATATATTATATTATATACATGAATTCTAGATTGTAAATGAATGGGAGCACAAGAATCAAAATAGTTTTTTAGTTATAATGGTATAATAAACAAAAAAGTTTCGTTCAAAATGAAAGTGGACTGTTCATCTAAAAAATCAAATTATCAGACAGTAACGGGGGATACGTGTGCAACGATAATTTTTCAGTCATTGACTTGATGCCGGTATGAATGTCAAAAAATTTCACTCATTTTCACAACTCAACTACACGCTTTAGAGACCACTTTAAAGTACTTATGCGTATAACAAGCCAATAGTTATACTGTTAAAAAATTGTAGAATTTATAAAAATTACATTGATAAAGACTAATCCGACCTATTTTGCCTGGGTATATGATAGGTATTCTAGCTACATCTGATTCGCCACATATACACAAGTCGATATGTATGATTTACATTATTCCGTGTTTGCTAATTGACTCCAATGTATGTTAATTTACTGTTTGTTGTTAACAGCACAATTGGGAATCGATACAACGAGTTTATGATATGTACGTGGTCATCGATTGGCTTATCAGGACTTTAAAGTGGTGCATTGTTCTTAACTATTCTAGGAGAGAACATTGCTTGCTTTTATAATCTAGTTTTTATTAGAAAAATGCAGCTCAAAGAAGTCAGCAGAAGAACTTTGTTAGAAAAAGAAAATCTTGTTCTAATTTTTATACTTTTTGCTATTGTCTGTATGATTATTCACGGGGAAACTCTAATACAGATTCCAAGGTTTGTATTCTGTTAAATATGATTGAAATGAGAAAACTTGAATGATCTATTAATAAAATAATATCAAAATTATGAATATGTATTAAATTCAATGTAGTTAACGCATTGAATACTTTTAAGGAAGAATGTGAAGAAAGAAAAAATGTTGCTATATCATCTACTAAATTTTTATTACCTCATTCATAAAAACTATATCTTAGATTGCCGAACTCACTTTCTTTTTCACGGTAGAGTATGGTAGAGGTATGAATCCGTTACAGGCCACCTTCTGTTTTCAGGTATTACACCATTGAAATTACTGACAACAACGGAATAACAAAATGGATTTTCGTTAAAGAAGAAAATCGTTTTGATAGTTTTGCTAAAGGCGAAGACAACAAGTTTTGGGAACCTCCTTGCGTAGCTGAAGATCAAAGTGATGTAGTTACTGCACCAATTGAAATCATGGAGGCATACGATGAAGATGTCCCTGGATCGTATGATTACCCCCCTCCATTGAAAGATATTTTTAATGACTCAACTAATTATGAGGAAAATGACACTGAGTTATTCAATATTAAAGACATTTTAATCCCCCGCGACACTACGAAAAGAGAGCCGAATGTACTCAATGACCAAGGTACTGTTTCAAAAGACGATGATGCATAATATTCTAGTAAAGAATTTGATAAATAGGCCGACGAATACTTTTCGATATATCAAAACGATAATCTTTCAAATTTACAACATCGAATTTTATCTAACTAAACTAAATCCTGTGATTGTAATAATTTGCCTATGAATTATATAGAAAGTTTGGGATTTTATTATCATAAGTGTACCTGATTGAATGTTTATATATGGTGATTAAAATATTTTTATATCCAAATTGCAAAATTTGGTGAGTGGCAAACCCAATGCCAATGAAGAAGTCAACATCCATTATTTTCCTCAATATTAATATTTCAATTATTATCTCATATGCTCAAAATTTCTAATTGTCGTAGACACCCCACTGTAACTAAATTTATTAAACGATTTTTTGGTGCTTGCAAAGCCATGACATCTGTAACAATCAGATCTCATGCTTACTATAGATTGTAGTGAATTCAGTTTTGTAACCATTTTGTTAAAACTTGGTAATTTTGGTATGGTAGTCCCTTGGTGCATCGAAGTAAATGGTACTCAATAAAACTTTTGATTTAGGATATATACATATGAATCGTTATAAATACTGATGATATTTTTGTAAATGATGAGAAACACTCGTCTCAAAAACATACCTCTTGCTCTAATTGATGGCAGCGATATATAATAAAAGGCAAAAATGTGTTATTCACGTTTGCGCACGTTTTTTCACGAACAAAATGCATGGATGTCATTGTTTATTTATCTGTAATTCAGTGGTTTTATGAGCAAATCAACTTCTGATAAATTCATAGTTTTGTAGTTGATATGTATTGTGTAGTCGGTGACACATTTGGAAGTAGCTGAGCACGCATTAGTAATGGTATATTAATATTTCATTTCCACTATGCTTTCCATTCATGCTTTTGAAATACTAAGAAATGTTTTCAACGATGCAAGAAATGAATAAAATCGAATTATGAAATACTGTATTAATGTTGATTATTTACAGTACCGGCAATATACAACATTGTAGATTTAACTTCGAATATTTTGAACCAAGGTACCTTTCAGGTTGAGATGTTATTAGATTGATTCAATTGTAGACCCTCTCAATTACTTCACGAACCACATGTCTCTCCAAATTGCAACGCTTCTATTTGTTAGCAACACAAATTGCAACATGTTAAAAATGTTTTTTTGCAAAGACCAAAACGAAATATTTGACCCACAATTTTCCCTGTTGGTTCAGTGTAGTTTAGTGCCACAAATATTTACAGTGCAGTAGTAGGCGCGGCCTCATAAATTTTGCATATGTCATTCCTGACCCCTCCCTGACTACGTCATCCAAAAATTACGTTACTTATATCATTGTCGTATTGACGTCATTTTTGGATGCCGTAGTCAGGTAGGAGTCGGAAATAACATATGCAAAAATTGTTACGCCACGATCACCAGAAGTACACAACACTAGACACTCGGTTGCGTACCGTGACCGTACTCATATCAAAAAATCTGTCGCGTGTTACAAGATCCGTTGACATGCCGTAGCGGAACCTAATAGCAAATATCGCGAACGCAAAAGGTGCGCAATATTTAAGATTGACGACGTCATCAAGGCTCATCACACACAAAAAAACAAATCCCAGAGATTCCATAGAAATTTTAAAAATGAATCAAAGTATCTTCTAGCGACAACAGCAATTTTCGCCACTGAAATTTTGAAAGCCATTGGTTCATTAAAGAGAAAAGAGATTTTTATCATAACAACAAAAGAAAAAATAATTCTAATAGCAAAATATTACAAAAACGATCTATAGGTCTATTTCGTGTTCAACAACTGATATACAACGTTGACCAGCAGAGCGGGTACATTATTTTCCGATATTGAGCTCTGTTTCAGATTTGAAATATTTTCAACAGCACGGAAACACCATACACACCATTTGTTTCCAAGAAAATATCACGATTTGATCGAAATGCTTGAAGATAGCGTCATTACTGTTACGTTTTCTTTATTGTCAATTTCTATAGAAGTAGAGTTTTTTTTTACTTTTTCGTTACGAACGTGTGTAGAGCCATATCAGTAGAAGGCTGCCTCGTACTGATATTACATGATGAACAATTGATAGATTATCATAGGGTTAGTTATTAGAACTCTTTTGAGAAATCTCAAGTTACATTTTAAAATTACTGAACATTTACAAAAAGACGCTCATCACTTCCGACGAGAGAAACAAAACGGCGTTGTTGAATTGTCTCTGTTATTCGTTATTCAGGATAATCTGTCTTTGTTTGAAGCATCTGATCAAATTCCATTGACGACATCGAAGGATATTGCTTGGTTTCTGTCGTGCGCAATGTCTCGTATTTAATTCGTTACAACATGAAACAAGAGACCAATTCTCTAATATATGGATACAAAAGCCAAAACGAATTAGTACGGGTATGAAATCTGTAACAGCACTAGACTATTACCTACTCCAAACTTCCCGACTTCGATTAGCCACCAGAACGGAACGATAGCGAACGCGAAAATGCCACAGGGTGCGCAATTTTGATGACGTCATCACACATAAATTCATAGAGACAAATGAATTCCATTGAACCCACAGAAATTTTTAGAATAAATAAAAGCAATAGCCTTCTAGCTACAGACAGCCACTGAAAATTTCAAAGTAAGTGGTACGGTTGTTTGAGAGAAAGTAATTTTTCCACAACAACCACAAGAAGAATATCAACAACAACATAATAACAAAACGATCCACACGTCCATTTTGTGGACAGGTTCAATTTTTTTATTTCATCACCGTAAGTTACTATTGTTATTTGTATATTATATTTTTATGCTAATAATATGGTTCTTCCGTGAGCGGTGGTTATGGCACTGTAGGCATATAAATTAAATACAACAACGACTATGGCTATCACGAAATGGATTTCTAGATAAGGCATTGTTTAACAAATTTCTATCAAACGTCTTGTATTCATTATATTTTTGAATGACTGAATGAAAAACATGTGATGAGTGTCTTTGACGCTAATGTTTGTGAGAAGGTTAAAAGATGGTCTGAGCTCAACAAATTGACACCCAAGGCGCGCAATGGCAACAACAACAGTGGTCAGATAGTACTGATACAGTAAGGCACCGAACTTGATGAAATGATCAGCGGACAAGCAATGTAAAGGCGGTCGAGCAATGGGGGAATAAAAGTGCTCCGTTTTAAATAAAAAATGCTGCAATTTTTTTTTGTCGAAATATCGGGTCTTTTAAATAAATAATGAATCTGGTTGGTAGATCAGTCACGGATAAAAGCGACTTTTCCCAGTGATAACAATCACTAGTTCTACTTCGCATTTAATAAAGAGACAAACATAAAAACAAAAAAAAAATAATTCTAACAAGATGAACAACAGCAACATAATAAAAAACAGTTCATATGTACACTTCGTTTTCAACAATGTTTGAATTACGTTTGTATACTAGATCGCATTGAATAGAAGCAATCAGCAATACTGATATAGTTGCTTATAACGAATGTTCCATTCATTTTGATACAGTTATATACGAAAAATAAAATCAAGGTTTGTTTTTTACGTATGGAATATATTTTTGTTATTACTTCTGGACATTTCTATAATCTACGGACCTATGCGCTGACTACCGCACGTAGAGTGTCTTTGTCCTACACTAATAATAAAACATTGATAGTAAACAAAGGCATTTGTTGAAATAGCTGACAAAACATCACGTAAAACCGAACGTGATCCATTCTCCACGTGAAGTATTCGGCTTCAAGAAGGCTCCAGTAGCGTCGGGCTACAACGAACAGATTCGTAAACTCTGATAATCTTTGGACGAAGTGTTTTTTGTTTCATCTTCTACTTATGGTCACCGATTGTCAACCAGTGTTTTGATGACCCTTCAGTTAATATGACGTCATTATTGTGAATGTATATAATGTGGAGTGGGCTCAATGTGTTTATCAAGATCTTGTTTATATAAGCGGGCGCCAGGGAGAAATTGTTGTTGCGATTAGAAATTTGGAAGCGACCGCATAAGCAAACTTCAGAAATTTCCACAGAATTTATATTGTAAATTGAACTTTCGGAATATGGTCAGTGAAACATTAACTTCGTGGAAAATGCCAGCTGAATGAATTTATAAGGATACCTTCCCACGTTAGGGCAGTTTAATGTTAAAAAATTGACATATGATGATATAGATCAAATTCTAATTTAATCACATTCTAGAAGACTATGAAAGGCTTAATATTATGTCAAAACGTCTGGTTATTTGGTTTTTAGATTATAACATTCTCAGTTGGTAACGATGAAGAGTTGAAAGGTCAATAATATTTGCAACTTCGCTTCAACGATAATCGATCGTCTTCGTAACCATAGTTACAATGCATGTGGTCACACTTCACTGATTTCATGGATTTTCAGATTTTAAGCATTTCATAATTTTGTTCGCTGTCATATCGTGAGATAGTGTAATTATACAGTGCCATAATTGAGTGATTTTCAAATTATCGGTGTCTTGGTTGACAGGATGAGAATGGACAATAACGCAATATTGTGACAATTTTATCGATTAGCGGCAATTCATGTAGGCTATCAGATAAAGTTACCAGATCGTTGAAAATGAAATTTTACTGATGATATAATTTCAGAAAATTTTCACGTAGTTTATTCTAACATTTGTTTACTCTACGTGATAGAACATGTTATCTACAAAGGAACGAAGCACCAGAAGTCACCGTGTCATGTCGTTTCGTACCTAACGTACTTCTAGTAGACGTAGCATAACAATTTTTTCACGTGTTAATTCTAACCCCCACTTGACCACACCATCCAAAAATTACGTCACTACGACGTCACAGTGACGTAATAGAACCCTTCAGACTATGCGAACTGTCATCCAAGACGCGCAGACGAGAAATCGAACAGCCATTTCTCTCGTTTTCTCGTCGCAACAATCCCGATAGGAGAGAGATCGCTGACGTTAGTCAGTTCTTTATCGTCGGCGCCGATGCCATTTCGGGCGATCGTACGAGTATTCGGCAAGCTCTATGACGTGATTGTGATGTCGTAGTGACGTAATTTTTGGATGGCGTAGTCAGGTGAGGGTTAGGATTGGCATGTCGAAAAATTGTTATGCTACGCCTACTAGAAGTACGTTATGTACGAACGAGACCCTTATTCCTCACCTGGCTTCGTCATCCAAAAATTACCCCATTTTTACGTCACAAACACGTCATAGAGCTTCCAAAGAAAAGCTACGATGGCCGAAATGACATCTCTGCTGAAGACAACGAACACGCTAACGCTAGCTATCTCTCTGATATTGCGATCGTTACGACGAGGAAACGAAAGAAATAGCTTGCTTGATTTCTGGTGATCGTCTGCGCTTTTTGGACGACGATTTGTATACTTTGACGGGTCATATTTCGTAATTGTTACGCTGTAGTGACGTAATTTTTGGATGACGTAGTCAGGTGGTGGATAGATATCATTATGACATATGCGAAAATGGTCATGCCACGCCAACTAGAAGTACTTGACAGCGTTTAGTGAACTAGCTTCCAGTATTTCATGTATTGCTGTATTGGGTTTAGCTTTCTATAAGATTATAATATGTGAAATTTACAGATTTATTTCACCAGATCAAAGTTATATAACCTAATACTGTAATAGTTGATCAACTGGCATGGATTATGTTCCACCAACTATTGGAGACACAATTGAATTATTATGGTTTATTATGATATTCCTCCTTGTTCTACTTCTCGTCGCTCTTTGCACCTTTAATAAAGAAAATGGCGGAGTTCTGTGGCAGCTGATGACAATAGCTTCTCAATATGGCAAACTTAATTCTGGAAAAGCCATTAAGTTTTTCAATTTACCAAAGAAGATATTCACACATTTTTATGCTATTTCTGTACTATGGAATTTGATATTCATTGCAGATTTGAGCATAATATTTTGGTTTTCTGATACGCAAAAAGGTTTGATCATTAAGTACATTGTTCCTGAATCGAGTACAACTCGAAATTTGATAACAAAGAAGTCGTTATTGCTTGCTTTTACACTTATACTTATTCAAGGTTGTCGAAGATTATATGAATGTATATATGTTAGCAAATTTTCCAAGCAAGCTACTATAAATTCATTCCATTACTTTCTTGGTGTTTTTTTCTATATTTTTGAGCCTTTAACTATTGTTTCAAAAATTGGTGCAATTGAAAAATTACCTTCTGGTGATATCGAACTGAGACATTTTGTTGGAATAATTCTCTTTGTTGTGGCCTCACATTATCAAAATCAAAGTTTTCATATATTTGCTAAGTTGAGAAAAACTTCTGATAAATCTGAATATAAAATCCCCACTGGTGATCTCTTTGAAATTGTGTCCTGTCCTCATTATTTTACTGAAATATTGATCTACACTGCTCTGACATTCATAGTAGGATTTTCGCACTATTCTTGGAGATATGCTATTGTTTTTGTCATTGTGATACATATTGGGATGGCTAAAATGTCCCATGAATGGTATTTATCAACATTCAAACAATATCCAAAGCATAGAAGAGCACTGATTCCTTTTGTATACTGAGAGAGAACACAATCTTCTCCTACCCCAGTCAAAGTATCATGTGCAATAAGTCCCAACCTGGATTTGAAATTTGTCCCCGAATCGGCCTAATGCAACTCAGCAGGTATTTAGTTGATATGCTCAGTTTATGTAACATACAGGCAGGGTGTCCAAAAAGTTACTTCTTCCCTTAATTTTTACCCATGGCTTTTGCTTGGTCAAAATTTTGTTAGCAAAAGCATGTTCAATCTATTTTGTCAAATTTAAGTTGTATTAAACACTTATCTATGCATATATACAATACTTATCTTGATTTTTTAGCAAATTTTCGGTCAATATTTTATTAAAATAGAAAATTGTGGCATTATTCATCCCTGTTGTATGTTTTCAAAGAGCAATTTTCATTTTTCCTATTTTCTCAAACACTAAATTGTTATTGTACATGCTACTGTAGGCAAGTTGAGAACAAGGATTTGTCGGACGTAGGCCCAAACCTGCTCGTTTGTTGGTACTCATCTTGTCCTGAGATATTTATTTTCCCTGTTACTGATAACAGAAGTCATTTTTAATCCAATTCATAGGAGATTAATTGAATCATGGTATTAACATATTTGGCTCTGTATTGTAGAGAAATGCATTTAGTGTTCTCATTGCTTGAAATTTAATATAGGCCTACAATTTGAAATTAGAAATTGGTTCTTCAAGTTATATTTTATCAGCAAATTGAGCTAATTGAAACTGTCTAATTTTTTAGATATTTAAATTTTTTTTAATTCCATGTTTATACAAGTCTAGTTTAATGGGAAAATCGAGTAAAGACAAGCGTGATATTTATTACCGATTAGCAAAAGAAGAAGGATGGAGAGCACGCAGTGCATTCAAGTTATTACATTTAGATGAAGAGTTCAAATTTTTGAGCAAAAGTGTTGAACGAGTGGTTGACCTTTGTGCTGCACCAGGCAGTTGGAGCCAAGTTTTGACAAGAACATTAAGGTGAATAATCAAGGTATTTTTTGTCATGGCATTAATACTGGAATATATCATTTTATTTTCTTGACTGAAGGATTCTTAAATCCAAGAAGTTTAATAAACTAAGTTCTTCTGGTTGCATGTATGTTATACAAAGTCTTATATGCTACTACAAATAAACATTGTTTTCTGAAGATTCAATTTCTGTTCCCTTGCATTTTCACACTTGTTAACTTGTAGAAAAAAATATTTCAGAGGGCCCACTGGACAAGAGAATCCAAATGTAAAAATATTTGCAGGCAATGGCTCCACTACCTGGTGTTATACAAATACAAGGAGATATCACAAAGTCAAGATGTTGTTTTAAAAGAAATTTAACTCATGACTTTATTTCTCGTGTGACCTAGTTTTTTTAGAATATTCATTTTCAAGTTTTCTTTCTTCAATAATGTTAGGGCCTACCACTCAGAGAATCAGGGAGCATGGTTGGTCTTAAATGAATAGTCACATCAAAATTGGAGTGCCAATGTCAAAATAGCATCGTAATTGTAAATCTCAATCATAAAGTTGAATGGTGTCAGATTAGACTAGATCAGCCAAGTTTGGCACGCGTGCCAGGGGTTGCCCACCCCTGGACTAGATCAATATGTAATCTTGTAAACTCATTTTGAATTTCTGTGGGTCTGAATAATGAAAATATCAACATGCAATTGTCATTTGGACACACTCCAATTACAAAAGTCTACTTCATATTATGCTATGTATATATCATCACACAGATTTTTAGATGTATAATTTGTGCATTTGAATTACCATATGTTTTCATTTGTAATCCATTCGTACATCATAGGTTTCAACAGCAGAAAGTATTGTTGATCATTTCAAAGGCGAACCTGCAGATTTGGTTGTTTGTGATGGGGCACCGGATGGTAAGTTTCTTTCTTACTGTTTAATTCTGACCTATGACCTATTGCTTTTATCTTTTTTTGAGAGGCATCATATGAAAAAATGATAAATAACCAACAAATTTGTATATTTTGAATTAAGTATTACAGGTAAGTAATGATTTCATGACAGTACAGGAGAACTCAAATATATTGACACAAAGTCAAATCTTGAGACAGTGTTCCTTCTATTTAGAATAAAACAGCAAAATTTGGTTTTAAATATCGAACCCCATATGCATCATAAAAAAAATTGAAAATATATAAAAATTATAGACTTTCATCGACTTCTTTCATCTGCAAGATTTAAAAATTTGCAATCGGTTGGTCCATTAGTTCTTCACAACAACAACTACCACAGCAATTCTGACAACATAAATTAGGAGAACAACTCATAAGTACACTTCATATCCAAAATGTAATCTTCATTGTGAAGACAATAAGTTTGATTAATCGACATGAGTGATTATGAACCAGTCAAGATTCAAATTGGCCAAGGTGGGAATGGAAAGACCAAGCTTTATTCTGATAATTATAGAGAACCAAGATTTTGCAGGTTACCGTACCTATTTTAGATTTATTTCAGAGTTACATCTCATCATAATATAAATTTCTCATTTGTGTTTAGTTACTGGACTTCATGACATTGACGAGTATATTCAAGCTCAATTACTTTTAGCTGTAAGTTACAATTTTACTCTTTTATATTTGTAGATTGTTATCTTGTGTACTGTTGCATTTTATACCAATCACAGGTTGATATTTTGTTACTTACATGTTATATACAGTATAGACAATGACTGATTATCAGTGTTGAATATATAACAAATTAATTATTCTTCTTGTCAGGCATTGAATATAACAACTCATGTACTGAAGAAGGGAGGAACGTTCATAGCAAAAATATTTAGAGGTTAGTTTTGAATATTTTTTTTTTTAGTATTCAATCCATAATGTATCGATTTTGGAATTCTGTCAAGCTACCATTTTGAAAATAACTATATATAAACTAATATTTTGTCTTCAGGAAAAGACGTTTCTCTTCTTTTCTCTCAATTGAAGATGTTCTTTAAAGAAGTAACTTGTGCAAAACCTAGAAGTAGTAGAAACTCAAGCATAGGTAAGTCATTAAGTTTAATTTTATAAGTCCGAGGTTGGCGAACTGTGAACAAATTTATTTTTCGCCCTCTAACTAACCTCACTGTTAATTCATAAAAACCAAAATTGCTTCTAGATTTATTATTATTGGTGCGCTATTTTATGTTGTAACAATCGCTGTATAAGCGAAGCACATGTCAGTTGTGCCAACTCGTCGAACATGACTAACATTAGTTGGCAGTTCCCTTTAATTTGAAGCGATTTTTTTTGTCGCGGAGTACCGTTAAATTAATGTGGCCCGCATGCTATCGGATATGTGCATATTTGTCCCAGCAATAAGTAAAGTCTGCCGACCACTGTTATAAATCAACATACATACTTAGCCACTGATTTTGTAGGCTTATTAATAGCTTAACTTCAGGTAGGAGGCGAATAGCTTATTTTAGGTGTAGCGTATCATTTCTGTTTCATATTACAGAAGCCTTCATGGTTTGTCAAGAATACAACCCTCCTGAAGGTTTCAAGCCATCCATGGCGAATCCTTTGTTAAATCATGATTACGATGATTATTCAAATCAACTTGTTGGTGCAAACAGATGTATTTTACCATTCTTAGCATGTGGAGATTTAAGCGGATTTGATTCAGATCGTACTTATCCGCTACAAGTGAGAGGGCTTATTTACTCATCATTTACGGTGCAATTCAAAATTTTCATATGGAGATTGATGAGTTAGATTCCCCTGGTATTCATGTTGTATGATGACCAGGTAAATGTAATTCATTCCTGACTCAACCGAATTGGTAACTGTACAGTTAGCGCAAATAGGCAACAAACTAGGGGTTTGTTGTATACTAGAATTCATAACTCGCCCATTCATTTTGTTCTAATCTATTTCTATTTTTATTGAACAACATCCTTGACCCTTTGTGATATCTATACAGTAATTTTCTTGAATATTCTTCTCATCTTACTTCATATTTTATCCTTTATTTAGTTGGAAGATGATAAAGAGTATGTTTATCATTCACCTACACAACCACCTATTGATCCACCATATAAAGAAGCTTGCAAGTTGAAAGCTGATAACAAACTTGCTAAAGAATCAAAATCATGATACAGGACAGGATATTCTAGGTAGGTTCTATTACCGTATTTCCTGGCGAATAAGTCTACCCGGTGAATAAGACGAGGCCTGTTTTTAAGCCTGAAAAAATGAATTTTTGCATATAACCTCCCAGTTAGACGGGCAGTAAAATCGGAATCTCAAATTACCGTGCAACATCTCCTGAGAGGTGTTTGCACATTCGTTAAAATAACCCATAATGACTTTTTCTTGTAGCGAAATATTCAATCCATGACAACTACGAGAATTTAAACTGTCTTTTAATTTTAATCTAATTGTGCTCGATGTAACACGGCAATCTGTGGACATAATAATGTGAGATAAACTACCTGATTATATTTAGTTTTGATACATATTTTTGCGCTCTTGCGAATTCGTTATCGCCATTATAAAAATCCCAAGGTCTGCTATAAAATCACGGAAAGTGCAATTTAATTGAGGCCAATAAATATACATATAAAGTGTAATATCAAACATACATACGGTAATCATCATCTCGAAGTCTTCAGAAACGATATGTGTTGCTTCATTAATTTAATAGTGATCAATTTAATCTGCGATTGCAACAATAGAAAAATAGTATCTCTGCTCTAAAATACCAACGCAATCAGTGGACATAAACATGTACGATTGATTATATGTTGCTTCGATTCGTATTTTTGCAAATTAAAAAACATATCTGCGCTGTTGCTGCAACACTTATTCCGCTCCATCGCAATGCTGTCACTCCTTAGTTTAAGGATATCACTGAAAGAAAAAAACCTTAAGTCAGCGATAATATCACTCTGTGATAAAGATGGAAAATTTATTAGTCTGCAATAAGCCTGCCGTAACACTGCCTCTTCCTGGTTTTTGACACTGACACCATTGTTTAATATCCCATATATTTACCTGCGGATTTGTTAATGCTGATCAAATATTTATTGAACAATTTTATACAATAATAGTATGAGTTAAAGAAAGCAGTTGTGCAACATATTTACCATACAAAAGATGGAAAAAATAACATGTGCAAAGAAATATGTAGTTACAATATTAAAAGGTATTGCAATCAAAATTGATGTTAATGGCAATTGTGAGCGATACTTGGAAAGAGATTTCATAATTTGCTCATTATTTTTAATAATAACCTTTAGGAATATGCTTTTCAGAGCACTGGCATTTATTTCTGTCGTAACGTTTTGCAAGTTGAAATTCGATCAGGGATGATTGTGTGCTAGATGATTTCTGTATTCCATGTTACATGGCAGTTCATGTATTCAGTTATAGTTTATGGTTTCATCTATCTTCCACGGTCCCAACTTTTGGTATATACAAAATATTCTGTTTTTTCTTTTTAGACTCTTTCTATGAATGAGCGCCGATGATGGAAAAGAAATATCCTGTCATGTTGCCAATGGGCCATTATTTCTGGGGGAAATGGTTGAAAATACTGTAATATGATCATGCAAAACTGTATGAAGGTCTAACATATGTCATATGTAGAGAGTAATTTGTCCGAAGCTTGGTTTTAATACATTTGGTTGCTTTGTGCCAATAGTATCAATTTTTGTGAAATATGGCTATGTAAAAATTTGCTCTATTGCTGTAGAAATGCTCTTCCGATTTCGAAAATAAAAATACCACTTTACCACTTTAAAATTTCAATAAACAGCTTAGTAATAAGAAGAATTGTTGTGGCTTGTGTTTGGTATTATTACTATTACGGTACCTTAGTGAATTGCTGCCAGTGTTGGGCACAAGTTCGAAAAAAACCCGAGTCACCATGGGGGGCCAGTCGATTTGTGAATTTTAAAGCTGAGATCCCAAGTTCAAGTAATTCATAGTAGATTTCTAATGCAATAGTGAAATGGTTAGATATGATTTAATTGAACAATCAGACTCCAGTTAAATCAAAGTTAATCTGAAAATCGAGCAAGGATCTTATCATATTGATGACGTCCGTCTAGGCATCCATCAGTCTGATTTCCAATTATTATTTAAAAACTAGAGAGTTTCTGATTTTTTTATAACAGCATTACTCACTAGATTATTTTTGCAATTTCAAAGACTTGCCGGCAGTAACTCATTTTGAAGTTGTTGGGAGTATCTGAAGACCTTGAATGGAGTCTCCCAAACACGGGTTGCTGCAGCGTTCGGTCTTCAAGGAGCGACCAGATCTATCGTAGTTCGTTTACAGTTTTTGTGTCAACAATTTATACATAAAAGGCATTCATGAAACATAAAAAATATAGAATAATGGAATACCTGTTGGGTTTTTTTCGTGAAAAAAAAAGTTTATATATGCAATATCTCTTGATTTCAAATTTCCAGTGCGTAAAGATGAAAGATGCCGTTAAAAGGCTATTAGTTTCATTCCCCCAAGCTTGTCCGCCATTTTTCAGCAAACACGGCGCTCCGATTACTTGCTTAGGCCTTTGTGACCACATATTTGAGCATTGCCTTCTTGTTATATTTTCGTCACAGGGAAAGAGCTCTGCTACGATTCCAATGTCACGTGGTGTCATCTTCTACTAATCCCAGTTGTCCAGGAGTTTGTAAATATCTGACGCGTTGGACCTCCAGAAGTATGTGCACCAAGATGGCGCACAACCTGAACAAAGTATGTGTGCCAGGTTGGGGTTCAGGTTGTGCGCCATCTTGATGCATCCCCTTTGGTAGGTAAACCCGAACCGGAAAGATTTCGTTCTCTTGCTCGGAGTGAATACGTACATACAAAATTGGAGATGTTTACGAATAAAAATGATGTTTCTATGAAGAAATGATGCCTTTTGCATGATTGTTATCAATATGATATTCATAGTTTTTTTTGTGAAATAAGGTTAAAATTTCATTCCTTGTATTCTGGATGAATTTTAAACCAGTGCGTCGTGATGTCCAGGTCCAAGTTATATTTGCTGATAAGCATACACATTTCCGGCTTTTCATTGAAGCCGACAGTTGTTGATTGTTGTCAACAGTCGAAAAGGTAAACAATGCTAGGCGAAACATACTTTGCCCTCCCACTATCAAACAGTTGTCTGGTCCGCTTTAATCTTCAGTGGCACGTCTTCAAAAAATTTGGAATATAAAGATAGTTGAAATCAAGCATCGTGCATAGATTATATGTTAGTATTTTTCCTTCAGATAAAAATTATGAAAAAAGAATGGGTGGTCCAACAAAGCAGCTGAACTGCTGAAATTTATTTTGGCTAATTATTATTAATAGGATAAAATCGAGGTGAGAGAGGTGGAATTTTCATTTGAATAGGCGAATAATTTAATACATAGTGCTAAGATTACCTTCACTATGCGGTGCGCTCCCGTTCCTCTGTTTTCTTGATTTTAATTCATCGCTGGACATCTGGGATGTTCCTTTCCCACTCGAGTTCTTTCGTGAGATCTGATTTGTCTGTAAAATATTAATTATTTGTCGTTTACTAAATTGTTTTGACACCAGCGGGTTGTAAATCTCAAGTCCAGGTTTAACAGCAGTGAAATCGTGTCAATTACATTATATATATATACAGTGTCTTTAAGAATCTTCTAGGAGTGAAAATATTTTATCTTCCCTCGATGATACATGTGCTCGCGGAAGTGAAACAACTAATGTGTATATATATATGTAACTTTTCGGTCGAAGACTCACAAACTGGAAAGACTTTTCTTTGACCGCAAAGTAACTTCGCCATTGAATATTTATTGAATATTTAGAAAATTGGGACCTCCTGAAGTATGCGCACCAAGATGTCGCACAACTTGAACATAGTATGTGTACCAGGTTAAGGTTGTGCGACATGTTGGTGCGCATACTTCAGAAGCACCGAAAATTGTTTATACTTACTTCAGTCTTTTTCTAAAAGATCCAAGAAAATTGTACATAAAAGGATTTAGAGCAGAATTAGCGTATGGTAGAGTGAAAAACACAACTGAAGCAGATTTGCAGAAATTCTAAAAAAAAATGAATTTAATGACATGATAATAATTACTAATCAGTAATAATCTATTACCCAAATATTTAAACTTGTTGAGTAGTTGTTATCTAAAGGGATATCCGTATAGATCAGAGTTCCCCAACCTTTTATGGCTCGTGGCCGCCTTCCGGAGGCTTTCGGCACTCACGACCCCCTGTTTATTATTCCAGTGGTATTTTGATTGGAAGATTCCGAATCCCATTATGTTCAAACAATTGATCAGCAGAGTAAAAACATCCTATGGAAATAACTTTATCAAGCAATGAAACTAGGAAAAACGGGGCGTTTTTTTATAAAGTGAAAAGTAAAATCAGTTTTGCGCCTAGCATTGTGAACCCCTCCCAACTGCTCCCCCTTTGGGGGGGGGGGGGCAGGGGTTCTTGTTTGGAAACCGATGGTTTAAATTAAGGTATTGAAGAAGAACATAGCCATGTTATCAGCAAAAGTTCTTTTGCTTGTAACGATGAAACGATTGGTTAGGTAATATTCTAGAGATATTGTAGACTAGTTTATTTTAGTTGTTCAAGCTTATGATTTGCAATGTGTTTAAGCATTAATTAATAGACTATTCCCACAATTTACACGGACTGGGCACCGACTAATAGCAGTGTTTGCTATAAGATTAGGCCGCGTTCAAGCCTACCTATCAATGGTGATAAATATGACAAATCTATCCTTTCCAGTAAATGTAAAACAGAACAGTTTTAGAGCTTACCATTCGTGATTCACACATATATTATTTTGGAATAAGTCTCAAATACTATTTATAACACGATAATAAATGAAGGCAATTTGAAAAGAACATTAAGAAAATATTTGTACCGGATATGGAGTCGAGAATCCGTCAATCATTGCCAACATCATCGAATGGTACGGTAGCCAGCATACAACAAATACCACCACCAAAATAGCGCAGAGCATAGTGATTCTCTTTTTATCTTTCTGTGATCGACCCGTTGATGAGATAGAAGAGGATTTCCTGGATTTGAAAATTCCCCTTTTCGCTTTAGAGTTATGTTCTTCAGTATGTGAATCACTTGTCATCATTTTGCTTCTCAGTTGAAAAACGATTAAACCGTAACAAATCGTAATAACCTGAAAATAGATATTTTAACAGTAATATTTTATTACAAAAGTATTAGTAGCATTAAGAATCAAAAACTATTTCTATTTCTATCCCCTTTGGCCCTGCTCCTGTCAATGTCACTTAGCTCTGCGTTAAGGGTGAAATAAGTTGTGCATTTTGCTTTAATTATTATAGGCTATACCCAATTAGAAGATTTATTGTAAATAGGGTATTAATTTATAGCTATTTATTATTTTCCAGTAGAAAGTTTCTAAATACAGTAAATAAAAGCCTATACTTACAACAAGCGGAACAACAAAAAACGCTATAAACTGGGCCAGAACAAAAAGTGTCATTCCAGGCTGGAGTGAAGTATCCTTGCAGTAAAATTCTGTTTGCTCTTCGTTTCTATAATTAAAAATGACTTTTTTCAAAATTGACAGCATTTTCAATAGGATTTCATTCCAGCGCAAACTTAACCACTTCGTTAAGCGCGTCGCTAAAGAATCTAACCATGTTTTAAAGACACGAAATGCGCTTGTGTTGGTAATAGCCTACAACAGTATTTATCACTACTGTTCTTCAAAAGCTTAGTTACTTCAAGTTCATGGATCGTGGGGTGGTATACTTTATCAGTATAGCAATACAAGTTATGCTTTTAATGGGGATTGTCTGCTACATTTTTGAACTATTATTTTCATATTATTTTCTCAGTTGGGCAATTCGAACAAAGTATCTTTAACTAGACAAATTACTCACTCAGTTTCGCCTATCTCTTCTCCGGAGAACCCAGAATAGTAATCTTCACCATATTCAGGATAATCATATTCCGAGGAGTTCCCCATATCAATCGGCTGTGTTATCGTTGGTGTTGATATTTCAGCAGACTTACATGTTGGCGGTTTGTATCTTAAGATGAACGTCGTGTTCAGGCACTCATTCACATCGTTTCTCGGATCAAACTTTTCACACCAGTTTACAGGACTTTCTGGAAATACTAATCTGAAATACGGGGATATTTTAATAAAGTTGAGACAGTCGTGCCACGAACAATAAATCTTCTTAATAACACACACAAAATATATATGCGAAAGAGTCCCCATATATATATATATAGCGTGTGTGGTTTCAATATGAAAGCTGTTTTATCTTTCAAACAGTGCACGTTTTTGTGCTTGAATATAATCGCTTCTTCAAAAAAGTGTGTCGGTTCTTTAGACGAAGAGAATATAAACTTTGGTAAAATTTGAATGCATTTTATCTGGTTATGAAAAGCGGATTATACAGGGTGTGCATAAAGTCTCTTCACAATTTAATAAATTTTTCCTTCGACGTTACCTTTTATATTATTCCTTTGCAAATGCAAATGATAAGAAATTATCGCAATTTCAATGTAAATGATGGAAATAAATATATATAAAAAATACGAAAAAAATCTAACCTGCATCTGCAATGTGGCTCTAACCCAGTTGTTCTGGTATATAACATGAGTGGAAAGCAGAGGACTAAGCAGAGTATCCAAGTACAAAGAGTGATCATATTGCATTTTTTATTTGATCTCAAGTTTTGTACAAATTGCTTTTGGCCATGGCAAACTGCAAGGTATCGGTCGATTGCCATGATCTAAAAAATTATAGTTTCAGGTTATTATTCAATACACACTTTCCACTTGACTAGAGCATTTGCGAAATACATGCTGGATATGAAAATACACAGGTGCCGATGGGAATACAACTAATCTTGGCGCTCCGGAAGTATTCGTACCAAGATGACGCACAACCGGAACAACGCTAACCTGGTTCACATACTATGTTCAAGTTGTGCGCCATCTTGGTATGAATACTTCGGGAGTACCTTAATCCTAATTGTTCTCAATTGTGAGAATAAAAGATACGATTTCCAGTGGTTTCCAACCTTATTTTCGAGTGACCCAATTTTTTTTAAAATTTTGTAAAATCTCGCAGGACAAGCTCAAATACTAAACGGCAACTTTGATGACTAATATAACACAATCATTTTTACATAACATTTATTATCCCAAAAATGACCCCAAACTGGGAAGGCAGCGAATAATGGGAGGGAGTAAGTTTATTTCTATACATTTTGCACACAACCTAGAATACATTGCCAATTGTGACCATATAGCAAATTGCAACGTTGCGCAATAGTTGTTAGCGCCACTTTTTCATATTTTACTTACAGAACACATGGAATAAACAGTATATATAGAAAATTGAGTGGATAAATTTAATTTTAGAAGTTTGCCAAGTGGTAAACGAGAAAAGGAAGGTTGAGACCCATTCTCTGGATTTAGTAATATATATATATTTTATTTTATTTTTTTTTAAAATTTTTATCGAACCTCAAAATTTAACAACTCTATATACGGAACAATTTGGATTATTTTACGGTTGAACTAATTTCTTCGCCGAAACAGAAGATCGCCAAATTTGTGAATTTTATGGCGAGCAGTCGTAGAAAGTGTTAAAGTGCTCTACAGTGGCTTGGCCAAATTGGCCTTGCTGCATATCGCACGTTCTGATGGAAAAATTCGATATTCCATACAAATGCATGTACTTTCTATACGCTTGAAATTTCCGTTGTGTATTTGGTTACCACGGTTCCATTACATTTGAACCCGTAATTTGAACCCACGACAATTGCACCTGCATACTATTGCACCTATAAAAATTTGCACCTACGGATATTTGAACCCATACTAACCATAACCCATGGATTTTAGAACCCACATATAGATTTAACCCGCGGATATACGGGTGCAAATGTATGGGCTCGAATGTACGTAGGTTCAAATGTGCTGTTTTAGGGATAAATTCATTATTTCAGGTAAAATTTATAAAAAAACTAAAAATTGCTTTTTTCGAAATTCTCCAAATTCATGAATTAGATCGATAAAGGGCCCGTTGTAATTATACAACAGATGACAACCAAAAATATAATTGGATCGATGACACCAGATGCTAATTAGTATTCCAACCCGAATCGATAACCCTAATGGAATCGATATCACCATACGCGCATACGTATATAAGGTTTCAATTGGATATTTGAAGGAGGTATTGAAGAAAAGAGGTATTGAAGAGGAGGTATTAAAAGGTCTTGTATTAGTAGTCAAGTCGTCTGGAGCGGTGTCGTGTCGTCATGTCTTCATCGTTTGTGCTCCGTGTATATCTACAATATTAAACTACATCAACAACGTTCAACAACATGTTCCTAGTATAGGCTACATGTTCCTACTTGGCTAAAATGGTGATCCCGACGTGATCAACATGTAGCATATACTAGGAACATGTTGTTGAACGTTGTTGATGTAGTTTAATATTGTAGATATACACGGAGCACAAACGATGAAGACATGGCGACACGACACCGCTCCAGACGACTTGACTAATAATACAAGACCTCCTCTTCAATACCTCTTTTCTTCAATACCTCCTTCAAATATCCAATTGAAACCTTATATACGTATGCGCGTATGGTGATATCGATTCCATTAGGGTTATCGATTCGGGTTGGAATACTAATTAGCATCTGGTGTCATCGATCCAATTATATTTTTGGTTGTCATCTGTTGTATAATTACAACGGGCCCTTTATCGATCTAATTTATGAATTTGGAGAATTTCGAAATAAGCAATTTTTAGTTTTTTTATAAATTTTACCTGAAATAATGAATTTATCCCTAAACTGTCACCGGTAACCACCAATACCACAAGTTTACGATGGAAATACCAATATGCAGCCATTGACAATTGTTGCATTTGCTTCATTGACGCAGAAATGTTTCAATGGCTTGTTATATTGATGTCGGTTTTAGGTTTCAAATTCCATGTACTCGTGCATTGAATCAATCTCTTACTCATGGGAGCAGACACATTCAATTCCAGCGGGAGTCGGGGCCCTTTATCGATCTAATTTATGAATTTGGAGAATTTCGAAATAAGCAATTTTTAGTTTTTTTATAAATTTTACCTGAAATAATGAATTTATCCCTAAACTGTCACCGGTAACCACCAATACCACAAGTTTACGATGGAAATACCAATATGCAGCCATTGACAATTGTTGCATTTGCTTCATTGACGCAGAAATGTTTCAATGGCTTGTTATATTGATGTCGGTTTTAGGTTTCAAATTCCATGTACTCGTGCATTGAATCAATCTCTTACTCATGGGAGCAGACACATTCAATTCCAGCGGGAGTCGGGGAAAGCCGGTCAAATTTAGGACATGAAATATTTGATAATGATGCCTTATTTCGTAGGAATTTGACATTTAAATCCCATCTAATACAACATATGTACAACAGAGCCGTATTTTTCTATGTTGAAAATCGATTTATTTTGTACTAAAATATCATAGTATGAACTGTATGTGTCCGGTGTTTTCAGGAAAGGAAGGTATCCTACTGTGGGCGTTTTCCGCCATAATTCAAGTTTCTCATTACAAATTTTCTTTTTTTGTATAATATCGTTATCTCGAATTTTTTTTTAAACTTTATTCAATCTATGTTTATAACCAAATCACCTGTTTGCCCACCAAGTAAATGCATAGATTCGCTAATGCATTTGCCTGTCGTGACATAGGGTAATTCTCACTCCACCAAACATAAGGCTCGTCGCAAATTTACGACATTTCATCCAGTGGATTAGACACACGCAAGGCAAATAGTGCCACAAAAAATTTTCTTTCTACTTTATATGAAAATCACTAACAATAATTTAATTTGAAAATATAACTTACCATTAAAAACAAGATGGATGAAAAGTAATTGATATACAATATAGCAGAACACACGGTGCAAAACCACGACCCAAACGCCCATCCTTTATATAGCAATTGAGTCACCCAAAACGGAACTGTTTGCAAAAATAATAGATCAGCGAGCGCCAGTTGCAGAACGTACCTGAAAATAATAAATAATGCATAACTTCCTGGTTAGATTTCCCGATATATTTAAATCACTTCCTCCCGAGAAACCCAACATATATGTCAAGAACATAATTTTGCAATCATATTTTAACGGAACGTTTTAACTCAAGTGAGACATTTTTCAGAGAATCATTAATAGTTTACTCAGAATACAAAATAGACTGGAGTAGTTTGACTTTTGCGTATATAAAACCTCGCGCTACAAAAATACCGCCACTTTGAAACGTTGCTTAGGTGTACAACATGCACTCACGTTTTTCATATTCCCCATAATGAATAAATCAATAAATTTTTGCACAACACTGATTAAAGTTTTTCTATAAAGCGATTTGGTAATTATTGATCAATATAATTAAGGTAAATGGTTCTCTTGCATCATGACGGTGGTATTTTTTCAATGATAGACTTTTATAACTGTTAAATATACCCTTATTTTTTGCAACATGTATGTGAACAAAAACAGTCTATATTTGGCTTATAAATCTTAAACGATACGATTCAATACTAATACATGTAGTTACGGGATATCCTGCTGCAGTTTTGTGACAAGGGCGCGGGGAAATTTTACCAAAAGCCGAGCAATCAAAATTATTGTCAAAAAAATTTAGCCTCGTCCTAGTTGTTAGTTGCATAATGATTTGATAGAGTTGCAATAAAACATTTGAGACCAGTCTAAACAATAACATTAGTACAGTTTCACAATTGAACGAACCCTTCTTAATTATAAATATGTATAAGTGATTCTAGGTTAGTTTGATTAGTTCTCTATATATGTTTTATATTTATGAAACACTTAAGCAACAATATCGATAAATAGTTTGTTTTTTCGTTTCCTAAATGAGTAAAACTTTATATCTTATCGTTTAAATCTGACAACACTAGAAGGTTATATATTACGCATCATCGGAAAACGTATTTTTCGCACAAAGTTTTTATCTGAGAATATTAGACTGAAAAAAAAACAAGAAAAGGGTGTGGAAACTAATTGTATTTTTTTTTCAAATTTCAATTGCAATACGACACAAATATGCTTGCTTTTTGTTAAGTGAGTGTAATGGAATCAATGTATTGTATTAGTTTTATAAAATATAATTTTGTAAAATTAAGAACTCAATATATCACGATTAGAAACTTGCACAATAATAAAGTACATAGACTCTGTTACATAGCTCGTTTTTCGATTCCTATAATAAATAATATACGGTTTCGATATTTTGCGTCTATGAAATTAATCATATCTCGTGCAAATACCAATCCAACGATTACATCACTTACAATTTACATAATATTAAGTATACTTTAAATCCTATTTAAATGAATAGTATTTTCATAATATTTAGGGGTGCTTTTTTATTAATATTGTATATACCGGTATATATATTTGTCAGTTATTCAAATGGTATTTTCCGTTGCAGGAAAATGCCAGCATGTCCTATGTCGAAATGTCTCAATTTTGAACCTTGGCAGTGATACTGTGACACAATTTTATCACGTTGTTTACGAAATGATTGAAAAAGTTTGTTGAATTTTACTTATTTTTATCCATAAGCAAGTTATGGCACAAAACCGCTTCTTTTGCTCCGGTTTTGTGAAGTAAAAATGCTTTTAATTTAAATATGACCCTTTGTCTCAGTTGACACAATATCAATGGCATAATGTTTAAGTCATCCGTTTTTTGCATGGATTCATATACATTTCTAAATAATAATACCATTTAGAGGTTGATCACGGGAAGCATTTATAGCGCCATTATGAATTTACTTCCTTGAATAACCTCATTTGTGCTCTGCGTTTTTTTTTTATCACACCGTTCATATGAAAATTCAATCTATGGCAAGAATCTCAAGATAAAATTTTTCAAAATCTGCAGAAATTGGGTGTTTTTGATTTTGACTTTGAGAAAGACCATTCCATCTTGAAATATAAGCATATGAGCATATGATTTGCAAATTAATTCCAAATGTTGTGTTCCTGTATTCTACTGTGAATCTAGGATAAAAAGCTTTCAAAATTAGGTTTTCAAAAACATTGCTAATCATCTAAATATGATGCATATAATGATATATATGTAGCACTGTGGTGTGAAAAAACAAGGAAGTAATTCTTAAATATATGCAGACGAAACTTGCGCATCCCAATGGTAGGGTAAAGCCTCAGCTGGGCACGGTGTTTGCTGAAAATATCGGCGGACAATCGTGACGGATTAGGGTGTTACGTTCAACCACATTTAAATACTGAAAATAAATTTGGAATTAATTGTTCCCGATAGTTGCGGAGAAAAGCACACAACAACAACAAACCAAGAACGACTACTGCCATTTTTCAAAACTACTCATATAGGTACATTTCAAGGCCAAAAAGCGCCTTTTTTACGAGAAAGACGAAAACATCAGGTTTTACATGAGACACCTCGAGTTCACATCGGCAAATATATTACTAGTTGGAATAGATGTGCGGATATAATTTTTACAATAGCAATTCTTACCAATGCGTTATTTTCTTGTATTCTCCCAGAAACAAAATAACGAAGATAACGATAAGATTTCCAACGGTTCCGATTACATAAGTAAGCAATCTGACAACTGTTTCCGCTATTTCTCCGGAAGTATTCCCATCCATCACGACCAGACAGTTGTACTATATAACCTAGCAAAGTGTTGAATGCATAAAACTGGTAAAGACAAAACGCACATTCAGTAAGGATTTTAAATATAAAAATGAAAGTTGGAAACCTTGTGCTGCATATATTATATATCTATTGAAAGCTGTATAACTGGCAATACATATTAGGAATAAGTTGATTTATTCTAGTAATGATTTGTCTTTAGATTATTTTTTTAAACACTTCCATTTGCCAAGAATAATTTATATTAATAAATTTAAATCAAAAAATGATAAAGTTTCTAAATGAATACACATATTGGAGCTTTCTATTTATTCCGTTGATCCCGCATGCAAGTGATACTAATTAATATTTCATGCGATCTGCTTCGATAAAGTCATAGAAATGATTAGGTCGTCAATTAACGACTATTTGTACATAAACACGTTTAAAAAACCACAGTTAGCGTGGCATGAAAAGCAGAGATACGAATGTAACCCTCGCTTTCCAGGGAAGCGATAAAACATCTTGTCAGTTTAAATAATTGCAGAATGTAAAAAGACCAGGATTAGCTATTTCTCCCAGTACGTTAAGATCGCACAATTTCTATAAAAAGAACCGTCTCATTTAGTATTTGGCTTGCCGTACAGAAATATTTGAATTTAGTTCAGACGTTTGACTCATGAGGTGGTTCACATACTCGCTCCGAAAAAGAACTAGAAAAGTCATTTATATGTGTTAATATTCAGTTTGAGACAAACTTAACAGTTCAGTATACCCAATATACACAGCGCACAGATTGTCGGGCCGACCAAGCTATTGAGACAACCTAAATAAATAGTTTCTGAATTGGGCCTGCCGTTAATTCTGAAATGGAACGACGTAGGAAAGACGAATCGAATTACATGTAGTAATTATTCTAACAAATTTAGAGCCTTTCTGAAAATGTCACCAAACGTCACAAACGTTGTACAATAAATGCTGACGAATTATGTGCTGTACGTTATTGTACTAAGCAGAACATACATACGCAAATATCTGTATACATTTCCTTGAATCATGGTACAACACTTTGATTTTTGAAAGAAACATCGATGGATGGAATTAAATTCTATTTAGCTAGCATCATCAGCTGACTCACATAGGTTTACAGGTTACAGAAAAAAATAGTCTTCCTGGTGTGTCACTACACGATCTCTATCAGGTAAATTGATTTGTATCCCAGGAAACGATGGAAAACGCTCATCAATTGTAAAACTAACAAACGGATGTATTTTAGTTCTGCGAATATGACCTCTTCTATGTATCAGTTGGAAAAATACATGCTGGTACACAGTCGGTTCGAGTATTGCACATTGGTGGAGCCACACGATGTAGTATAGTGCCCGTATTATTTAGCTTTACATGGCAATTCTGAGTTGTATGAGCTACTTTTAAATTCAATTGCGATAAATAACTGGCATCGTCCTTATTCATTTATTGGTAACGAAAATTTATTTAATTCATAAAAAAAAATTGTTGACTTTTGGACGCGCAAATGTAACTTTGAAAGCTCCACTAATTTTGGGAATGGGAATCAGTGTCATTTTTCTGGGAAAATGTTAGGATAACAAGTTATTATGATGGCATAAATAAAATGATACCTATAAATTGTTACGTCGAAAATGAGTAGAAATTTTGCTGCTTTCATCTCAGGTATAAAAATATCTATAGTTAGTACATATAAAGAAAAAGCAAAGATAGAAGCGGTCGCTTTATAAGATATAGTCGGTAGTTATGGACCATTTATATTTACTTAATTTGCGCGGCTGGTTATCTCACAAACGGCACTAATCCCTGTAACGCAGGCCACAGTTTGTTCGATAACTTATTCCTTAACTGAAGTTGTTACGTTACTTTAAATGTAATAAACACATCAGAAAACTATAAAGCTATCTAAACCAAAGCTAACTCTTGTAGCGATATATTACAAATGCTCTTTTCATCAAGTGAAAAACTAAGTGATCGCACAAAACTACTTTGATAGAGATTTATACCGGTGATTTTCTCAATTTTAAATATTTTTAAATATTTAAATATTTAGGTAAAAATATGCATAATATAAAGTATTCGGCATACAAAATACTGACTCGAACTCAATTAAACTGTGATTAATTGCAATTCACTTAAGAGAGGAAGTAACGAAAAGTTACTTCCTGTGAGCCACCTGTTATATATTACCTGTCTGATTTATTACTGTTTGCACACTTAAACTAGTCGAGTTCATAGGTTATAGGTCACAGTTAAAGTTCGATGCAAAATGAAACATGACATGCTGATGTTACAGAATATGATAATGTATTCAAGTATAGCCTTTTCAATTGGTTTTATTCATTCCATTTTTTACTATACTTTGTAAGTATCAGTGACTATCATAAATATGAAATGCATTGTATGTATTCATGTTACTGCCAACGCATCAATCAAGCTAACACTATTCATAACACGTTACGTTATTCATCTTAGATGGATTCATTCAAATATGTACATAAGCTCCATTTATTAGATATGAGACTAAAAATGCCATAAATGCCAATCTTGGTACTGAATGAAATGTCAATTTACGATCATACAAATTGTACCGAAAATTTTCACGTGTTCATAACTGTTGGTTCGTTTTCCAACCTTAGAGACAATCTTCGGATATTACGTCATCGAACGATCTTGCGCACATCAAGATATTTTTTTATCTAGAAGGTCACCGAAAAGGGCTTAATTTCGGTTAATTGTTCCGATAATAAATAATTTATCCGTTAAAAACGTTTTGGCAATGAAAATGTTGTAAGATTTAAATGAGTTCGTTTTACTTACACCCTTAATTATTATTGATGAAATTCAACAAATGTTGCCAATTCTGAATAGATACGCAACTTTCTTTAAAAAAATAGAAATGCGCAAATTGATCCGAAGTTGAAGTATTGTGATAAAGTTTCCACTCAAATCATTTCTTATTTTCGCGAAAAAGGAATTTAATAGAAATATGTCGTTATACTTTATTGTACTGTAGATTTGGAGTAGTGTTTGTATTAAACTGAGAAATCTTGAGTAAGACAGAAATTCCCTTGATAATTGTTTGATAAAATGTAAAACCTAGCGAATAAATTTTTATACTGATTTTAATTTAAATTTGAAGTTGATTATACATGTTTACTCGGTTACAAAATTCTAGTATAAAACATGCTAGCATTCAACTAAACAAATAAATATTAATTCATTTCAATCATCGCATTGCATCATAATTAGGAAAAACGAGAAAATAAATATATAATTTATATTACAATATATATCTGTATAAATAAATGTTAATACATGATCGTTGCCTTATCATTTGCACGTGATAAATTTTGATTTTACTAAAGAAGATATGTCAAAATGAGCAGGCTGGCGAATAACTATCGAACTTCCATGCTCTATAATATTTTTATTTTCGGCAATTTTTCCTCAAGTAATGATCCAATCAATTTCGAATTTCCATTATTTAAAGAAGTCGCAAGAAGACTATTACTATTTAGTTTCCTTGGACCATAGAGATCCCTATATTTTGCCTACTAAAATGAATTGATAAAAAAAAACTATAACACAACTGAAAATGTTATAAATATGGCTAACATACTTATGAATTCTGAAATATACAGTATTCAAGATCAGTGGTTTCCTATATATACCACTGTTGGACCTATTTTTCTGCCATCGTAAACGCCTGGGTACCGAAACACGCGAAATTTTGTTGTGCAATCAGGTTTGTCTTCTGTCGGTAAATTGTGTGTTTATTGAGTACGTAATTGCTATCCGGCGACCGGGCTTTGGACTTTCCAGGCTCCTACAAGTGCGATTATCTTTTTTCATATTACCGCATTGATTACCCTTTTTTAAATGAAGAATTCCAGACCACCGTCAACAACAGTAAAAAAATCGCTAAATATTTTTTGATTTATATTTTCATTTTCCAATAATATCTACAACGAACAAATATAATTATTATATTGAGATTTCTCACATCATAAACTGTTTCCAGGATTACGAGATTGATTTTTTTAGTCTTTCAATCTACCAATCCCTGTTGCTTAAAATGAAGGAAAGAATTTACATTCCACCTATAATACAACAGTGAGTCTACATATGCCGTTTTAAAGAAATGTATAATCTAATTTTGAGGTATTTTACATGTTAACTCGGGACAGCCCTAATAGCCGCGTAGAGGCTACTGCAATTTTTGAAAAACGCGAATTGCTTTCATTTTCTTTATCAATGACGTACGTGTGAAGAAAGTGGTGGTCTTAAAACTGGACATGAGTTCAACCAGACATTGAAAACGATAAATCTTGTCTGGGATGCAAATTTACTAAGAGACTGTTGTACAAGCGACTAACAAGAAGAACATCAAGCTCATTATCGTTACACAAGATCAATTTGAATAATTATTCAGCTAATGACTTTTATGCAAAAGTACTCGGCAAAGAGTAACAATCAAATCAAACTTTATATATTATTCATTTCTGAGCCCATTAAAGTTCAATACTTCTCTACAACATGACAAGTCAATTATTTAGTTGTTAGATAAGTTGATCAGATTTAGTGATGTTTTAAACTATATTACAAGGATTATAGCCTTTTCTGGAAGACATATTTGTTTCCCGTTTCAAAATTGAAAGATACGAGTTGGATAAACTAAACAAATATATATTATATACATGAATTCTAGATTGTAAATGAATGGGAGCACAAGAATCAAAATAGTTTTTTAGTTATAATGGTATTATAAACAAAAAAGTTTCGCTCAAAATGAAAGTGGAAAGTGTTCATCTAAAAAATCAAATTATCAGACAGTAACGGGGGATACGTGTGCAACGATAATTTTTTCAGTCATTGACTTGATGCCGGTATGAATGTCAAAAATTTCACTCATTTTCACAACTCAAACTAGTCGCTTTAGAGACCACTTTAAAGTACTTATGCGTATAACAAGCCAATAGTTATACTGTTAAAAAATTGTTTATTTTTCAATTTCGTAGAATTTATAAAAAATTACATTGATAAAGACAACTATACATACTAATCCGACCTATTTTGCCTGGGTATATGATAGGTATTCTAGCTACATCTGATTTGCCACATATACACTAGTCGATATGTATGATTTACATAATTCCGTGTTTGCTAATTGACTCCAATGTATGTTTAATTTACTGTTTGTTGTTAACAGCACAATTGGGGAATCGATACAACGAGTTTATGATATGTACGTGGTCATCGATTGGCTTATCAGGACTTTAAAGTGGTGCATTGTTCTTAACTATTCTAGGAGAGAACATTGCTTGCTTTTATAATCTAGTTTTTATTAAAAAAAAAAAAGGCTCAAAGAAGTCAGCAGAAGAACTTTGTTAGAAAAAGAAAATCTTGTTCTAATTTTTATACTTTTTGCTATTGTCTGTATGATTATTCACGGGGAAACTCTAATACAGATTCCAAGGTTTGTATTCTGTTACATATGATTGAAATGAGAAAACTTGAATGATCTATTAATAAAATAATATCAAAATTATGAATATGTATTAAATTCAATGTAGTTAACGGCATTGAATACTTTTAAGGAAGAATGTGAAGAAAGAAAAAATGTTGCTATATCATCTACTAAATTTTTATTACCTCATTCATAAAAACTATATCTTAGATTGCCGAACTCACTTTCTTTTTCACGGTAGAGTATGGATAGAGGTATGAATCCGTTACAGGCAACCTTCTGTTTTCAGGTATTACAGCATTGAAATTACTGACAACAACGGAATAACAAAATGGATTTTCGTTAAAGAAGAAAATCGTTTTGATAGTTTTGCTAAAGGCGAAGACAACAAGTTTTGGGAACCTCCTTGCGTAGCTGAAGATCAAAGTGATGTAGTTACTCCACCAATTGAAATCATGGAGGCATACGATGAAGATGTCCCTGGATCGTATGATTACCCCCCTCCATTGAAAGATATTTTTAATGACTCAACTAATTATGAGGAAAATGACACTGAGTTATTCAACATTAAAGACATTTTAATCCCCCGCGACACTACGAAAGAGAGCCGAATGTACTCAATGACCAAGGTACTGTTTCAAAAGACGATGATGCATAATATTCTAGTAAAGAATTTGATGAATAGGCCAACGAATACTTTTCGATATATCAAAACGATAATCTTTCAAATTTACAACCATCGAATTTTATCTAACTAAACTAAATCCTGTGATTGTAATAATTTGCCTATGAATTATATAGAAAGTTTGGGATTTTATTATCATAAGTGTACCTGATTGAATGTTTATATATGGTGATTAAAATATTTTTATATCCAAATTGCAAAATTTGGTGAGTGGCAAACCCAATGCCAATGAAGAAGTCAACATCCATTATTTTCCTCAATATTAATATTTCAATTATTATCTCATATGCTCAAAATTTCTAATTGTCGTAGACACCCCACTGTAACTTAATTTTATTAAACGATTTTTTGGTGCTTGCAAAGCCATGACATCTGTAACAATCAGATCTCATTCTTACTATAGATTGTAGTGAATTAGTTTTGTAACCATTTTGTTAAAACTTGGTAATTTTGGTAATGGTAGTCCCTTGGTGCATCGAAGTAAATGGTACTCATAAAACTTTGATTTAGAATATATACATATGAATCGTTATAAATACTGATGGTATTTTTGTAAATGATGAGAAACACTCGCCTCAAAAACATACCTCTTGCACTAATTGATGGCAGCGATATATAATAAAAGGCAAAAATGTGTTTATTCACGTTTGCGCACGTTTTTTCACGAACAAAATGCATGGATGTCATTGTTTATTTATCTGTAATTCAGTGGTTTTATGAGCAAATCAACTTCTGATAAATTCATAGTTTTGTAGTTGATATGTATTGTGTAGTCGGTGACACATTTGGAAGTAGCTGAGCACGCATTAGTAATGGTATATTAATATTTCATTTCCACTATGCTTTCCATTCATGCTTTTGAAATACTAAGAAATGTTTTCAACGATGCAAGAAATGAATAAAATCGAATTATGAAATACTGTATTTAATGTTGATTATTTACAGCACCGCCAATATACAACATTGTAGATTTAACTTCAAATATTCTGAACCAAGGTACCTTTCAGGTTAAGATGTTATTAGATTGATTCAATTGTAGACCCTTTCAATTACTTCACGAACCACATATGTCTCTCCAGATTGCATCGCTTTGTCTACATAGGAAAGGACCAAGATCTTCTATTTGTTAGCAACACAAATTGCAACATGTTATAAATGTTTTTTTGCAAAGACCAAAACGAAATATTTGACCCACAATTTTCCCTGTTGGTCCAGTGTAGTTTAGTGCCACAAGTATTTACAGTGCAGTAGTAGGCGCGGCCTCATAAATTTTGCATATGTCATTCCTGACCCCTCCCTGACTACGTCATCCAAAATTACGTTACTTATATCATTGTCGTATTGACGTCATTTTTGGATGCCGTAGTCAGGTAGGAGTCGGAAATAACATATGCAAAAATTGTTACGCCACGATCACCAGAAGTACACAACACTAGACACTCGGTTGCGTACCGTGACCGTACTCATATCAAAAAATCTGTCGCGTGGTACAAGATCCGTTGACATGCCGTAGCGGAACCTAATAGCAAATATCGCGAACGCAAAAGGTGCGCAATATTTAAGATTGACGACGTCAAGGCTCATCACACACAAAAAAACAAATCCCAGAGATTCCATAGAAATTTTAAAAATGAATCAAAGTATCTTCTAGCGACAACAACAATTTTCGCCACTGAAAATTTGAAAGCCATTGGTCCATTAAGAGAAAAGAGATGTTTTTCATAACAGCAAAAGAAAAAATAGTTCTAATAGCAAAATATTACAAAAAACGATCTATAGGTTCATTTCGTGTTCAACAACTGATATACAACCTTGACCAGCAGAGCGGGTACATTATTTTCCGATTATGAGTTCTGTTTCAGATTTGAAATATTTTCAACAGCACGGAAACACCATACACACCACTTGTTTCTAGGAAAATATCACGATTTGATCGAAATGCTTGAAGATAGCGTCATTACTGTTACGTTTTCTTTATTGTAAATTTCTATAGAAGTAGAGTTTTTTTTTACTTTTTCGTTACGAACATGTGTAGAGCCATATCAGTAGAATGCTGCCTCGTACTGATATTACATTATGAACAATTGATAGATGCTCATAGGGTTAGTTTATTCGATCTCTATTGAGAAATCACAAGTTACATTCTACAAATTACTGAACAGTTACAAAAAGACGCTCATCACTTCCGACGAGAGAAACAAAACGGCGTTGTTGAATTGTCTCTGTTATTCGTTATTCAGGATAATCTGTCATTGTTTGAAGCATCTGATCAAATTCCATTGACGACATCGAAGGATATCGCTTGGTTTCTGTCGTGCGCAATGTCTCGTATTTAATTCGTTACAACATTAAACAAGAGACCAATTCTCTAATATATGGACACAAAAGGCAAAACGAATTAGTACGGGTATGGAATCTTTAACAGTACTAGACTAGTACCTACTCCAAACTTCCCGACTTCGATTAGCCACCAGAACGGAACGATAGCGAACGCGAAAATGCCACAGGGTGCGCAATTTTGATGACGTCATCACACATGAATTCATAGAGACAAATGAATTCCATTGAACCCACAGAAATTTTTAAAATGAATAAAAGCAATAGCCTTCTAGCTACAAACTACCACTGAAAATTTCAAAATAAGTGGTACGGTTGTTTGAGAGAAAGTGATTTTTCCACAACAATCACAAGAAGAATACCAACAACAACATGATAACAAACCGATCCACAGGTCCATTTGTGTCCAACTAGATGAGTGGATGCAAGTCCGTATAGATCCAAAATCAAATTCAACTATCGGATTGGGTCATGTTCTGTTAGTATATATTTGGAAAATTTAATTTTTTTTATTTTATCACCGTAAGTTGCTATTGTTATTTTATATTATATTTTTAATGCTATAATATGGTTCTTCCGTTAGCGGTGGTTATGGCACTGTAGGCATATAAATTAAATACAACAACGACTATGGCTATCACGAAATGGGATTTCTAGATAAGGCATGTGTTTAACAAAATTTCTATCAAACGTCTTGTATTCATTATATTTTTGATGAGCTGAATGAAAAACATGTGAGAGTGGTCTTTGACGCTAATGTTTGTGAGAAGGTTAAAAGATGGTCTGAGCTCAACAAATTGACACCCAAGGCGCGCAATGGCAACAACAACAGTGGTCAGATAGTACTGATACAGTAAGGCACCGAACTTGATGAAATGATCAGCGGACAAGCAATATAAAGGCGGTCGAGCAATGGGGGAATAAAAGTGTTCCGTTTTAAATAAAAAATGCTGCAATTTTTTTTGTCGAAATATCGGGTCTTTTAAATAAATAATGAATCTGGTTGGTAGATCAGTCACGGATAAAAGCGACTTTTCCCAGTGATAACAATCACTAGTTCTACTTCGCATTCAATAAAGAGACAAACATAATAACAAAAAAAAATTAATTCTAACAAGATGAACAACAGCAACATAATAAAAAACAGTTCATATGTACACTTCGTTTTCAACAATGTTTGAATTACGTTTGTATACTAGATAGCATTGAATAGAAGCAATCAGCAATACTGATATAGTTGCTTATAACGAATGTTCCATTCATTTTGATACAGTTATATACGAAAAATAAAATAAAATCAAGGTTTGTTTTTTACGTATGGAATATATTTTTGTTATTACTTTTGGACATTTCTATAATCTACGGACCTATGCGCTGACTACCGCACGTAGAGTGTCTTTGTCCTACACTAATAATAAAACATTGATAGTAAACAAAGGCATTTGTTGAAATAGCTGACAAAACATCACGTAAAACCGAACGTGATCCATTCTCCACGTGAAGTATTTGGCTTGAAGAAGGCTCCAGTAGCGTCGGGTTACAACGAACAGATCCGTAAACTCTGATAATCTTTGGACGAAGTGTTTTTCGTTTCATCTTCTACTTATGGTCACCGATTGTCAACCAGTGTTTTGATGACCCTTTAGTTAATATGACGTCATTATTGTGAATGTATATAATGTGGAGTAGGCTCAATGTGTTTATCAAGATCTTGTTTATATAAGCGGGCGCCAGGGAGAAATTGTTGTTGCGATTAGAAATTTGGAAGCGACCGCATAAGCAAACTTCGGAAATTTCCACAGAATTTATATTGTAAATTGAACTTTCGGAATATGGTCAGTGAAACATTAACTTCGTGGAGAATGCCAGCTGAATGAATTTATAAGGACACCTTCCCACTTTAGGGCAGTTTAATGCTCAAAAATTGACATATGATGATATAGATCAAATTCGAATTTAATCACATTCTAGAAGACTATGAAAGACTTAATATTATGTCAAAACGTCTGGTTATTTGGTTTTTAGATTATAACATTCTCAGTTGGTAACGATGAAGAGTTGAAAGGTCAATAATATTTGCAATTTCGCTTCAACGATAATCGATCGTCTTCGTAACCATAGTTACAATGCATGTGGTCACATTTCACTGATTTCATGGATTTTTAGATTTTAAGAATTTCATAATTTTGTTCGCTGTCATATCGTGAGATAGTGTAATTATACAGTGCCATAATTGAGTGATTTTCAAATTATCGGTGTCTTGGTTGACAGGATGAGAATGGACAATAACGCAATATTGTGACAATTTTATCGATTAGCGGCAATTCATGTATCAGATAAAGTTACCAGATCGTTGAAAATGAAATTTTACTGATGATATAATTTCAGAAAATTTTCACGTAGTATATTCTAACATTTGTTTACTCTACGTGATAGAACATGTTATCTACAAAGGAAAGAAGCACCAGAAGGTATTGTATGCTGAATTTATTGAAACATTTTTGTTATCATTTTCTTTATTTTGTTATTTCTGTATTTGCCTTAGTATTGCTGTGTGTTGGATACTGGGATAAGCGTTTATTACAAAAAATAACTCCTAGACTAAACCAAAATTTCCCAAGTCAAATGATGGGCTGTAAATATCTAACTGATCTGGCATCATTATACTTTAAATTTGTAAATTGAAATTCTAAAATAATAAATTAGAATTGATGTGCCATTTTCACTTTCATTTTGAGAATATAGATAAGCAAAATGTGACTCATTTAACTCATTTTGAATGCTAAATTGACCACATGTAAAAGTCTGGTATATTTTAATACTATTTCTCATCCCAACTTTTCCTCTAAATAAATTTTATCAAGCATGCATTGTAGAAACAATGCAAACTTAACAGAAAATTGCCAGAGCTTTCCGGAAATGCATTATGATTCATATTAAAAACCATACACTTTTATTTTCTTCTAAAATATTTTGTTTATCTCAGTATCCTAATGATAAAAATATTAAATTTTAAACCCTAAATAAAATCAAAACAATTTATTTGTCATATATTATGATAAGCCATATTTATTGTACAAATCCATTCAAATCCGACATTGTTTGTCATATGGGTTACATTATCCCCAACCTTCTATTGTTCTCCATTACAATACAATTGACAGATTATGATGTTTTTAATATATTAATAAAGAATAATATTTTGATACAATAGTGTCATGCTTTCATGACATAAATTTACAAAAAATGAATTCAATAATTCAAGATAGCATAGATACTCATTGTTGTTTTTTGATTGCTTTTCCACGACTTATTGTCTTTGGAGCATCAAACGAATTTTAATATTTTCTGTCCAAAAACAAGAATCTACCATAGTTATGAATTGAAATAATAATAATTTTTGAACATAATTGCCTATTTGATACATTCTGGATACATTGTTTGATTGATGGTATGAAAACACAGTGTACATTTCTTTTCATGACATGGACACTAATCTGATTACTGCATCTGGCAACATTTTATACTAGATAGTAATATTTTGTTTGTTATTACAAATTTTTTTATATATTATACAGGACAGTGCATGATATGGCAAGAGTGCCAGCTGCTTCTGATACTATCCTTGGATATACAGATCGTTCTTTGCATGGTTAGTATTAAAGTTGTCAATTTTAACATCTTCAAATTACTTTTAGGTGTTGGATTATTAAAATAATTATTTGATATTGTTTATCTTAGGATAACTTATATTGTTGGGTAAGAAACGAACCTAGTTTATCCTATCCTAAGATAACACATAATTAAAGAAATCACTTTCATAAGAAAATTAGCAGTTGGGGAATCACATAATAGTACAAAGTTTTATTAAAATTTACATTTTATGCAGCTAAATTTTGTGGTTTCTGTAAAATTTTGTAACAAATTGCCTATTTGAATTTAAAGATTTAGAATTTAAGCACAGTTCATATTTTGCTCAAGCATATTTCAACATATTAAAATAGAAACGTTGCAAGCGAGCTATGATACATGAAATAGAACTAATGAGTACTATATTATGCCACTTTTTAGCTTTTTTTTTATCTTTAGATGCAAAAATAGTATATCGATCTCAAGGGCGTGGAGGAGGAGCTTCATCTTCCATGCTTTTTCAATATGAAAATAAGAATGAAGACGAGAATAGATGGAAAGATTCCAGATCAACATTACATCGTCATAGTGATGGAACCCTTCTCAATTCTACCTTTGGCAAACTCCCAATATGGATGACTAAACCTGGACTTGAGGTTTGTTTGTGAAGATTTGTTCGTGATTCTGAATTTTGAAAATTAGGTGTTTCTTTTAGGGTATGCCACTTCCAAATTTGCGATATTTGATAATTTGATGGATTCTATATATTTTTATTATGTAGGAACTCGTATGATTACTACCATGGTTTGTCTTCTTGGATTATCCTGTTATTGACTAACCATATTTGAATTTTGCAAATTGTGAATAATTGAAATTGATATTTTACTTGATGGTGTTATGATTATGCTATATAATTACTTAGAAAATTTTTTATCACATTTTTTTGAAAATTTGCTCAAAGCAAGGTTATGAGCACTCACACAGGAGCTAATGACTCACTCAAGGCAAGTTAAAAATAGGTACCAATAAGCTTTCTATGATAAAAAGAGAATCAAAAATTTGTTTTTCCCACTCAAATTCATCCAAAACAAGATTATCAAATGTACCCACTCAAACGTTTCTATTTAAAGTTGAGTAATTTCAAACAAATCCCTATTCACAGAATTACAGACGATATCGCAGTATACCAAATTTTCTGGCCGGTGAACCATATGGTTATTCGAATAATGTATATGAAGCTGCGGCAATGATTTTCGAGCGACTTGCAATAAAAAAAGATGGCGGACAAAGTTTGATACAATATGGGAAAACAAAAGATGAAGACAGGGAACCATTGAAGTTTGGAACACCTAAAATAAAAAGACAAGCATTTGAGCTTGCTTATCAGGCATTGAAATGTAAGTTAGATGTGCTTTGAGTTGGGTTGCGTGAGACTAACTTCTTATCCTTATGCCCCAATGCAAGTGGATTCGTATGCGTATACTGCAAGGATGCTGTAGCGTGAATAAACATGACTATTCTATCCAATTCAATATTCCTGCTGCACACTTACACGAATGTATTTCTGCAACCATGGTTGTAAACTGCTTGTCTGAGGAAATCTGGCTTTGGTCGATGAAACGTTAAAGAAATACATTTGTGTTAGTGTAATGTGCTTTGTCACAAATTCTTTTTATGTACTTCGTTTATAAGATATGTACTGTTGTTTACTTCACTATTTTGAAATTATTATATAGCGGTTAGCATATTGGGTAAGATTGACTGCATTGTCTTGTTCAGAGCACAGGGGTGAAAAAAAAAACCACAAAAATTTGCATGAATGGAAAAGGTGGATTAATCAGTATAAACCCTCCAAATTTAGTAAATTTAATTTTGTCGAATTTTCTGACTGTTTGGTTCCTGAATACCTTTTTCAATTCTTGCTCATATTGCTAAAAGTCTGTCCGTATTTGAAAGTAATTAGACATTTCTCTATGTTAGAATCATTTTTAAGTAAAGTGTGTCATATATGTTTAAATTAATTTCATTTTGAATTACTATATTTTCGTACAGATAAGTATTGTATTTTACTTTTAAGGTTCCTCCCTAACTATTGAGAATTGTGTCTCATAAGTTATATAGGTGTATAGTGTCCATATTGTTAAAGTATAATATTTTATTCCAGACCAGGAACTTCTTGAAGAAATATTAATCAACAGTTCATTCTTGTTTGCTCATCCAATGGTGAGAAATTCTCTCTTTCTTTATATGATTTATATATGTGTTTACAAAATTAACTTTAATGAAAGTGATTGATTGGGTTGCTGTAGGACTACTTATCCTTCTGTACTTTTCCGCTGCTGTATTTGTTTCCTCATACTGCAAGCATACTGTAGAAAGAGTGAAAACAACTATCCTGATTGATTTAAATTTTGCCACACACTAACACAAATATATTTTTGTAACGTTTCACTTGACAAATTGAATTTCTCATACAAACTGTCCTAATTCGACCAAAACTAGAATGATTATTATTAATCAAAATATTCCAGTTTTTCTGAAATTTCTGTTTTCATGTCAATTGAAATGATAATTTCAATATTTGGATTATTTCTCATTTCGACATCATTTAATATTTCTCACTTTGTTAGTTATCGGAAGTTGGCTTTCATCTAAAATAAATCCACAATACATACTTGAAAAACCACTTCTATTGAATAGCCCTTGACATCTACTCCAAACAACCAGTGTTGAATGAAGTATCATAAGTTTACATGCTTAACAACGATTCATGTTACAGGCGGTAAAATTTGTGTTTTCTCGCGATAACATCTTCAAACCTAAATTAATTCTGTTGTTTCACTTTCATGGACTATTTTGTCATTGTTCCATTTTACATGTTGGAATGATTGAAACTTGGGATGATATGTTTAAACACAACATTTGAGAAAATTTTCTCAAAGCAAAGTCATGCACATTTAATGTAGAATTAAGTGGATCAACTTTGTGCGAAGTGGGCCAGGTGGCCGAGTGGTTATGTGTAGACCTATTGCGTTAGTTCTCAATTTCAAACCCTATTCCCATCACCTCAGAACTGAACATAACTGAATAACTTTTGTAGCCATGCTGAACCGTTAATTTTTCGTTTTTATAAAAATAAGGTAGCTCTATACCGAGCAGTGACTGGTTGTGAAGAGCCTTGTTCAGAGCGAATGCCATATAAATACGTCATATAAAAAATGTTGCCGGTAACTGTTAAAGAGCCATTTCAGAATTATGATTCTTATCCTTTTTTTGGTGGAGCTTCAATAAAATTTCGAATATTGCTCAAATGTACAAATTAAGGTTAAGTGAATATTAAAATTACAAATTGTGTCAAATTTTCTCAACGACTTCCAAATTTTTCTCACGAAAATTGTCTAAATTTCTCATTTACGACTCTACTTTGCAGATGAATTAAATTTTGTAGTTATTTATTAATCAAAATCTTTATTTTTTCAGGCCGATGATCAGATGGCATTAGTGGTTGTGATGTTGTACGATTATCAGAACAGAAAATGGGCTCCAAGATGTCGAGTCATTGGTGAAGAAGTTGATCAAGAGATTGCAGTTGTTGAAAATGCTCTTTATGATCACAAGATTAGACTTGCTGCAGCTCTTGCAAAATGCAGGGTTTGTGTTCAATTTGTATTATCAAAATTATCCCAGTAATATTACGATATACACTCTTGTCTCATTTCTTTCGATTTGAAAAAACTTCCAATAAAGTTGTTATACTCTTTATTCATCCTTTGACATGACATGCTAACTCAATTCCAACAGCTACAACTCGAACCATGCTCTCCAATCATGTTTTTCAGAGCGTGCACGCATATACATGAAGCAGCCCTTGGTACGCTATGACAGAGATAACAGTCTTTGATTGGTTGTCATACACATGATCGGCGTGTTAAGATTCGTAGAGTCGGCTGATATGGGAATTTTTATAAATTCACCATTTTAGGATCGTTCTTAGTGGGGTCGGCTTATATACGGGGATATACCGTATTTATGGGTATATTTTAATATGGTCGTCTTGCGTGAATAGGGTTAGTGCATTGTGTTCTGCAGTTGATGCTTCATTATCATGCTAACCATCACACCTCTGTTAATCCTATGCGGGGTCGCAGGTTTTAATATTGTCCAAGGGATAATTATGTGTGAGAGGATTAATCGATTTATCACTGCTGTATAGAGGTTGATGGACTTGCTGGCCAGTTGCAGATTCCTCCATCACCAAGTTTATGTATCTGAAATAAATAACTGGTTAACTATTCCCATGGCAACAGAAACTTGTTAATAAACAAGAGGCTGGGGCGTGTCTTATCAGCAATCTATCTCCGAGAATAAATATGAAATTTTATACACTATTTACAAATTTCAGTGTTATTTTTTTTGCATTTTCAGGTAAAAAATCAGTCATTGTCTATTGACTATGTTTTACCTGAAACAGTGAGACAACAAGAAAAATGTGCTTCAACTCTTCCACAGAGTACTTGGGTCAACACATTAAAAACTAGGTAAGAACTTGATCAGATATAAATAAAACAATTGCAGAACGATTGTTTGTTCTTTATGAACAATAAATTCAATGCTGTATTGGGTATAGCTGCAAAAGTACTTCTGTGTGAAAACCTTTTTTATGTACAGTTAAATCAGATGTGATTATGCGTTCTCGAATGGGATGCTTATTAAACTAACATGTATAGTTGGAATAAGGCTTGAAAGTTTGAGTATGCCAAAAGCATTGTTTTGCATTAGACGGTGAAAGTCATCTTCTCTTTTAATGCCTAATCGAAAATAAAATCTCCAAATTATAAATTGCTTTACAAAAATATTGTAATTTTATTGTATTCATATATATCCTGGAGAGTGAAAAGACGACTTAATCATCTGACGAACCATGATCCCGATAGTTCAGTTACTGGTCCATGTTGGTATAGAAATAGTTAACCAGTTACTTGTTCAGATGCATGGAGTGAATCCAGTTTAAAGTGTTCAGGCATTCAGAATCCTAAAATCATTGTATTAAAGAGGTTTAGAAACTGTGATGGGATTTAAATTCTGTAAAGACTTTTGTAAATTTTTTATTTTAATTATCATTGGCATATATCGTGCAAATTGTATTAAAGTTACTAATCCCAACCATTTCATTGGAATCATGTCTTGAAAATTCAATGTTGCTAGCTATTTCAAAACACTTTATTTCATATCGGTATAAAATTAAAAATAAGAAAAACTGCTTACTATCATTGTTGACATAAATTATTGACCCTTTGATATTATAATACCGGACTTTATACCCTTTCATAATAGATGGGATAATAATGCTCATTGCTCATTGATAAATGCCTTTGATTCATGGTATTTATTCTTCAACTGTGTAAATACTAATATATTAAGCCTTCTCATAAAGTGTGATAAACAATTGAGATTTAGTAGTTTTAGGAATTTGTTTAGACTCCACACATTATAAATGGACAGTGTCATTTGACCCTCTAACTTTTGCTCTCCATGGGTTATATCTGATTTATAGTATTATCGGCATATGTGTGTTGGAAGCTCATAAATAGATATTTTTTCTTGATTTACTGGCAATAAAATGGAGGTTTCTTTATCTTCAAATCAGAACTTGGTATTTATCGAACAATAAAATTTACAATTTAAGGTTTAAACGATTATTTCATAACTAATGTTCATTCTGGTAAATATGTTGACGGTGGTCATAAAACATGTATAAGTTCAGAATCAAATAAGTTTGTAGAGTTAGGATAGGATAGAATTTACTTACATATTTGTTTCGAGGGAGAGGAAATATTATAATATAGTTTTGATGCACAGTAAAATCTAACTTCAACTCAACTTTCTTAACAGTGTTGATGATGTTGCAAAGAAACTTGTTGAACTTGGTTATTGTGAAGTTTGTGGTAAACAAGAAAATTTGCTGCCTCTTCGTGGAAAATATTTTCACCGAGACTCACATTGTGAAGATGTTGTTCTGTTTCCATGGGACCAGAAAGAAGCTTTGAAAAGTCTGGAAATTGTGTCAGATGGATTGTTAATATTACAGGTATGTTCATACATTTGGTAATGATACAGTCGGATTCGGGGTTTTGATATTGTATGATAAAAAAACAAAATTCTGGTCGAGACTGGAATGAACCAGATTGTTCACATCTTTTTCATTGCGAATCTAATAATGTACATATGTGTCGATTTAGCAAAGTTTGCTTAGCTGTACAACATAACATAACTAAAGAACTATATCATAGAGTGCAATCTCTGTGAGATTTTTTTATGTTGTTACGTGTAATAGGACTCACCATACTCATCAGTCACTGAATATTAAAAACTCTTTTATTAAATAACTTCTAAGAAATGCAACTTTTGTATTCAGGATAAAACCAGCAGTCTTGCAGTTCAAGCAATCTCATCTTTACTGACAGAAGATGATGAATATGACATATTACATACAGAAGTTGCTTCGGGATTAACTACAGCTCATCTTGCAATTATTCTCCACAAGTGAGTTGAAAGTATTGTCAATGTTTTATAACATTCAATGTGTAGGTAGTTAACTAAACCAAATTTTGGTTCATTCAATGTTTAGAGGAATATATGGAATACTGGTAATAGGAAAGGATTTACCTTTTTTTTTCTAGGGGAGAGGAAAGTCGATAAGATGGCTTAATTATACGGTGGACATTGTCCCGTTACCAGTTCATGTCCGGTATGAGATTAGTTAGCCAGGTATTTGTTTTCAGATGCATGGAGTTGATGGTGGAGGAAGCCGTAACCGACCAGCGGTTACGTGAACTACCCTATGGCGGCGAGCAGTTCAGCAATTGTCTCGCACATAATAAACCCCTGTGGGGTTCGAACTTGTGAACCACGCAGGGTAATCAGAGGTGGTGTGCGTATTTCTAATGCTCAGCACGATGCGAGCCGAATTATGAGATAGTGGGCACAACCTTGATTTGAACAAATTCTTGTTGAAATAATAAAAAAATTTAAAACTATTTCATATCTCACCACTAATTTTTATTTTTTATTCTTCACATTCCAGCATGACGAAAAATCAAGTCGAGACAAGGGGTAAGATGTACAGTCACCCACTTCTCGCTCATCGAGTTATTGATCACCCAGAAGAAGACAATGAAGCCCCAGAACAGCATCGACCCACTGTTTATGCTTGTGGGGTACGAGACTCGGCACACAGAACACAATTGGAAGATATGTTCAGCAGTCTGGGAATATCAAGTATGAGTATAAATTTTTTCAAAAAAAATTTGATCCTGGTTTCCATGTTACTTACTGTGTGTTCATCAGGTAATTGTTGAATTCATGTGAATTTTCCACAATATGCTTTAAACCTGTTGAAAATACTATGCAGTTGGCATATTGCTATTTGAGGAATAATCTTGCTATTGTACTTCTTTTTATGCTGTGCAATTTCTTAATTTCAAATTTTGTGTGGGATCATTATATGAGGGAATATTGCACACAAGTGATTCACACATGTTCTTCACATGAGCTGGTGATTTTTAGCAGTAAACCTCTTGTTATCGATTTTGCCACGAATCCCACTATATGTTTACCCCAACTATTTGGCTAATAAACTTTACGACGATCCTAATTGCTAACCCATAAATACATCATTAAATCTTGTTTATCGATCAAAATTATAATGGTTAAATAAGTCAGTGGCAAAAGAAGCTTCCACACAATAAAGCTCATAGCAACTAGCCATTAGCCACCCAACCATCCAGGTTCTAGTTATCTTAAACTCTCTTTGAGTCAGTTGTTCGCTTACTGTTACTTAAGCCATCTTATCAGTTTTTTATGTGAAGATCCGTATCAAATCCATATGTTTAGGGGCATCGATGGGAATCTCAATAACGATAAAACTATTAGACTGTTAAAAATAAATGGCAAATAGACTGCAAATGATATGTTTGCTGTTATGAGAAATAAAGTGGAATATAAGTTCTGTCATTTATTCTCAGATGTGAAGTTATTGTCAGAAAAATTTGAAGACATACATTCTGATGGTGATCCACGTTTCGAGCGACTAAAACTGATTCTTTGTACACCACAATGTACTCGTACCGCAGTCTCAAATCCAATCGAATTTATGTTGATGGAAGGAGACAAAGAAACATACAATATATTGCGAGATTTATCTCATGGTAGACATAACAATCATGCCACAGAAGCAGGCAAAAGACATCTTACTACAATGAAGCATGCGTTAAAATGTAAGTACAATAAAAGTGATAGTCAAATCTTAGTCTATTATTTTCGCATATCTTATGAACTTTTAATTATATATGCACTCCTGCGTCCACTCTGAACAAGTCTGTGGAAAAGCAGAAAAGTATATTCGAATAGGTGTAGATGTCCAGAAGTTAGGTTGAAATGACTTATTCAATTACTATACCATTAGGTTGTTATCATGACTCTGTCACAATAGGCATTGGGTAGTGAGTTCTGGAAGGTAAAACCTAGAATAAGATTTGGAATGAGACCAAAAAATGTCTTTTATGTGTATTCATTTAAAGACATCAACAGACACCACAGCCTCTGGTCCAGTTAGCAATCGGTATGGGATTATTTGTCCTGTTATTTGTTTTAAATGCTTGGACTTGATGGTGAGGAAGTTGTAACAGACCAACGGTCTTGGTATTGATTGGCAGCACATCTTGTGAAGTTGCTCCTGAAATCAAATCCGCTATTACCCAAATATGGCGGCCCAATTTGCCCCCTTATGACGAAACCATTCATATGGCCATATATTCATCCTATACCCAATTATATGTAATGTCCTGTTCCTGTTGAATATCATGCATTTATAGTCTTTTAACCATTACTACTCAAAACATAAATGATATATATTACATTATTTGCAGTTCGCACCCTTCAAGCTTGCGTCTATGTGGCAAGAAGTGTACATGAAGAAGAAAATGAACATGTCGTTAATGCTGCCATCAAGTGGCAACGTCAACATGCATCTGGCAGCATGCCATTCCGTGTTTGTCCCCCAACTGTACCACTGATGAATTGCGATATGAGAAATCAGAACATGCAATCTCTTTCAAATAAATTTTTATACCTCAGACAATCGCCAACAATGAATGGTTGTTTCTTGGCCGTCATATCACGAGAGGTTTGTGAATTTTGTACAATTAGTATTATTGTAATTATCATAAGATAGCCAGCATCTTCTTCTCATAGCTTTGCATTACTGGTCAACTGTATATCAATGAATTATTTAAAATAAGGTTGCAGGAAACACTGATACAGTTCAGTTTAATCAATTGATAAGCAGGTATAGACTGCTGATGCAATGTAGGACTTGGTGTTTGCCAAGTGAACAATGAGACCATTATGTTTCAAGTGTTTGTACCAATAACATTGATTTAATCTTACGTTTTTATAGATATGTACATTTTGCCATTTCAAAGTACAATAGACTGTAAAATGTTGTATTGCTTCACTCGCTTATATATTTTTCAAATATAGATGGGCACTGATGAATTAACTGTTAAGGATATTATCAGAAGAGCAGCACTCAAAGGACTTGTCAAACCACTACCTAATCTTGATATCAAGTCAACAGTCACTAAATCAATATTGGAGCCGCAGCATGTTGACTCAGAGTAGGTTTGTTTACTATATTTAATGGCTGAAAATTTGCTGATAAAGATTTTTATCCCTTATCAAACATATGAATTCTTTGTAGGGTAAACCACTGAGAGATTTTGATCATGATTTGAAATTTCAAGTATAATTATGCATAATATGTTTTATAGGAATCGGAATATGATCTTTGCTTATAAACATTATTAATATAAGATAGGGAGTTGAGTTATAAACTTTGTATCACTATCAAGTGTTTTAGTCATTTAAAATTATCTTTGTACGGGATGCCTTTAAATGTATAACAGATTAGGAGCTTGGAGGGCTATTGAGCATCATCCCAGGCTGTAGATGAATGTGCCATGACTACTGCCACATATTGTCTGATAAAGCATCTTTCAAAATTGCTTATCCATGTTAGGTGTATTCTTTGAATATATGTCTGACATGGGCAAACTATGGCCCGCGGGCCAAATCCAGCCCGTTGGGTAATTCAATCTGGCCTGCAACTAAACTGAAACCAAATTTTAATGTTTTTGCTGAAATATAGCTCAAGGATGTTGAAATTGCGATGAAATTTAGTTTCGTCACAGGCTTATTGTTTTCCACTTTTGCTTTTGTAACACTGTAAATATTGTTCATAAAATGTAACTTTTTATGTTATACTTACATGGCCCGTCTGACTAGGGCCCCTAGTCCAAAAACCTTGCCCACCTCTTATATACGTCATTTATTTGAATGCTTACAATAGGACTTGAACCTAATTCGCATCCAGCCTACATATTTCCATCGTTCCACTAAGCCTGTTTGTTAATTTTCCATCTCTAATTTATCAAACTAATTCCTTATTTATTTTATCAACTGAACAGTGATGAAAAGAAGAAGCCGAAGAAAAAGACCAGCAATACCAGCCAGACAACACATACTAGTTCTGGTAGGAAATCAAGCAAACCTGCATCTCCTTCCAAGTCATCAAAAGCTCTTCATAAGATGTCTGAGACAAAAACAGTTGATGCAAGTGACGTAAACAGACTGCTTGGACTCTATAATACCAAACATAGCAACACAAAAAGTAAGTTTTTATCTTACTTATGTGTATGAGTTGAATGTTAGAATATAATAGCATTATATACAGAATAAATAGATCTTTTAGTGTAATATTCTGTCTCAACTGTGGACTAATAATTTGACAAAACTAGAAGCATGAAGATGAAAACATTGGACTTTGACTTTCGAGGTATCACTGTAATACATAATTTTTGTACATAAATGTGGTAAGATTAAATAAATATAATGGTAGTATGAAATCATCACACTAAGCCTGAAGTTTATTAAATCATGATGTATTTTGGTAGCCAATTTCATTTGCATGTAGCATGTTCTATTGTCTTTATTTTCTTCAAGTTTCTGAAGAGAAGTCTGAGGAAGTTGCGCATGTTAACCTTAACTTAGATTTTGATAAACCAAACACGATGAGATTCCAGAAATCAACATTACCTGATCATACGAAAAAACCATCCAGGGTGAGGAATTTTGCTTGCATTTATAACCTTTTTAGCTTTGTAACACAGTATAAAATTGTAGTAATGATCATGTCATTTAGTCAGTAATAATTAGAATTGGTTGTAATATATGAGAGACTCTCATCATCTTATATGAGAATTCAAGCAATGTCACTTGCTCTCACTTAAAAGTATACAAATTTCATCTCAGAGTATAGTTGAACAATTTTTGATATTCAAAATCGTCTCAGAAGCTATTCAGAATTAGGCTGGATCAGTCTCAGGTCATTTGGATCATATTCTAGCTAGCGAGAACATAAAGTTTGTGCAAATCGTCATAGATTTCTGAAACTTTGGGTTACAACCAGTGTTTCCTCTAAGGTGTGCGCGTGTGCCCGCACACACAGCTTTCAGAGGCTGCGCACACGCATAGATTTACTGCACACAGACGTATTTCGATGTAATGTAACAATGTGCTCGGTTGGCAGGTTGAGAAAGTTTGTTGTTGGCCCACTCATTACCCGGTTAGAACGACAAAATTTCTTCATTGGTTTTTGCACAAATATTAGTTATTTCCAAAGAAGTGCACACACACCAAAATTTCTGCGCACACATACTACAAAAAATTAGAGGGAACATTGGTTACAACCATACACAAACCAGTTATACAGAATTTTATCGGTTCTGTTTTTGGCGTTACCCTGTGTGTTTTTTATCATGCTCCATATAGATTTTGGGATTTCAGGAGTGTTTACGACTTTCAAGATGGAATTTGTATACTTATAAGTGAGACCAAGCCAAATTCCTGGCTGTTTATTGTTTCTGTTAGTTGACCTAAGCTACAAAGATATATTTATACTAAAACCGCCCAAGACTTTAACAATTCATAACTCAATGAAAATTTGTTGCAAACTTGTGGTGTTGTGTATCTAAATTGCCAAGTTTTATTTCCTTGCAGGAGAAGGTCCATAGACATTGATGACCCTGGAAAGAAGGCAGTATTGTTTTATTGTTTAAATTTAATATGTTTTAATATTGTGATTTGTAAATATGAAATTTGTTTTATTATAATTTCCATAATTTTTTTTTATCTGTTTAACAATATAAGTATACCTGTCTAAATTTTCTAATATGTATGTACATTTTACAATGCGAATATCTTGCATCTAAAATTGACAAGACTCAAATATACTCAATGCAAAATTTTACTCTGCATAGCACATCACATTTCTTCATTTAAGGTTTCACCACTAGTAGTGATTTTTTATTGATAGCAGTAGGTTTCATATCCAACTATACTTCATTTTGTGATGATCTTCCTCATTTATTTCATCATAAGTGTTAATTTCTACTCCACTGTTTAGTTTTACTTTTAAATTATTACTACACCACACAACTTAGCTATTATATATCCATGACAACAAGTGTTAGAGGAATAAGCTTTTTCTCACATTTCCAAAGCAATGTATTTCAAAATTACAACATGTTATTATAAGACTTTTTATTTAACACAATATTCTTTACAGTACAACTTCATTGTGACTACACAATTTGCTCCATACCTCCCTTGTTTAATTTCATGTGTTACTCTCCAACATGATGTATTTTGTAAATAATAAACTTTTGAGACCATATTTTTTCTCCTCAATTCAATAAAGTTTGTTGTTATTGCATTGCACAGGCTATAGGACAGCGGTTCCAAGTCGAGAGTCACAATACTAGGCACCAAATTGATTTTAGTGCAATTTCGTTTACATATTCCCCGTTCTCCCTAGTTCCATCAGCTGATAAGGGTATTTCACAGGGTGTTTTCACTTTCTTATGTGTGAATTGTTTGATCATAAAAATGAGATTCGGCATCTGCCAATCAAAATAAAACTACAAAACCTCTGAAAGGGGTCACCATCCAAAGAAGGTTGAGAACCACTTTATCATAGCATTAATCAGTTCCCAAGATCAAATCTCATTTGCTGATCTCAACTGAATTTCATCTCAAACTTCACACTCTGGACATGTTTCTACTAAAAGGGAAACCCTTTACACTCAAATGCCGAACATAAAACAATTTTATTTATTGCATGGATTCGATAACATTAAATTAGGAGAAAGCTAATAAATTATCAGGTAATGTCTTTGAGAGCATAATGGAACTTCCAAAAACCAGATTTATAGTGACAAAATTAGAAATAGTAATAAGCTTTTGGCACAATTCCATGATCGTATATCCTCTGTTTTTGAGCAGAAGGTAACAAATATAGAGCAATTATAACAAACTAGTCTGGAACTAATTAGCTAAATATTTAGCAAATTCTATTTCATACTCCATAAGCGAGATTCTCATTCATGTTAACGTGTTCACAAACATAATTATATTTTTCCTTGAGAGCACAGGTACTTTGCATGGAAATCAATGTGATCTTCCATAAAAGTAGATATGAAGAAATAACTGTGATCATACCCCTCTTGCATTCGCAGTTTAGGGGTAACTTTCGTGCCTTTGCAAGCTTCAACAAAGTTCTCAGACTTGAGTTGCTCTTTGAAAAATTGATCACTAGATCCTTGATCAATGAGAATTTCAGTAACAGGTCCAGAGTATTTTTTTATAAGATGACAAGGGTCGTATTCCAGATAAGAATCAGCATTTGTACCAAGGTAGCCTTTGAAAGCTTTTTGCCCCCATGGACAATTTATGGGGTTGACAATTGGAGAAAATGCAGAGATAGATCGATATTGGTTTGGGTTTTTGAGACCGCACATAAGTGCTCCGAAGCCACCCATGCTGTGACCAGTAACTGATGTTTCACTGGTGACGTTGAAATTGTCACGAATTAAAGCAGGTAACTCCTTTGTTACATATGAGTACATCCTGTAATTGGTTTTCCATTTATCTTCCGTAGCATCGAGGTAAAACCCAGCACCAGATCCAAAATCATATGAATCATCTTCCCCTTCTATGCCTAAACCTCTCGGACTTGTATCTGGGCATACGACAACGATTCCATGTCTAGCAGCAGCTCGCTGAAAACCTCCTTTTGTCACCACATTCTGTTCTGTGCATGTTAAACCAGAAAGGTAATATAGGACAGGACATTTCTTTGATTCAATTTGTGGGGGTAAAAATATACCAAATGTCATCATACATTTTACTTCATTGCTTTCGTGTTGGAACACCTTCTGAAGACCACCAAAACTTCGATTGCAGGCCTTTTCAACAAGTTTACCAGCCATAATTGAATATGTTAGCTTAGCAATCGCTGCAAAAGATAAAAAAAAGAAATAGGTCTTCGGAACTCCATGCTTTTCCATAAAATTTACTACTTTAAAATGTGACGATAGGAATAAGCTCACCGGTCACCACCACACCATTAATTACCCTGTATGGGTTCGAATACCATAGGGGACAATTATGTGAGAGAGGATTGCTGGACTCGCCATTGTAAGGTGGTTCCCAGTTCCGCAGTATCCAGTATAGGATAGGATTTACATATTTATCGGGGGAGAGGAAAGGCGATAAGACGGCTTATCCATATGGCCAACCACGGCCTCTCGTCCGGTTACCATTCTAAGGCGGGTATGGGATTAGTTACATTGTTTGTTTTCGGAAGCATGGACTTGGTGGTGGAGGAAGCCGTAACCGACCAGCGGTTACGTGAACCCCCCAACGACGGCGAGGAGTCCAGCAATCCTCTCGCACATAACCATCCCTGCATGGGATTCAAACCTGGAACCCACACAGAGTAATTAGAGGTGCGGTGGCGAGCATATTCCTAACGCTTACTCGTCGCTTAGCCCGTTGAGCCACACCGCCGCGCCAAAGATACCAAATATGTAACTAATCAAGGTGCAAGTTCACTAAACATAGATGCCTTCCCAAATAATACTGTAATATGCCGGGTATCAGGTAATTTGAACGAAACGTGCGATTATGCAAGGACCGGTGCCAAGGGAGCTGATTAGAATCAGAAACACTACCACGATTTACCCTTACCTATGTATGTTTATTTGTCTCAAAATGTAACAGTATCTGCATAACAATTAAACAGTTTAAAAGAGACAAGATACTTACATGTTCAAGACCTCACTGGCCTAGGACACAGATGTGCGACATGCACCCCTAAGGCCCTAACGAGTACCGGTATACCAGCAGTTTAGGACTGCTGCGTTATATTACTGTATTCGGACAATATACATGAAGTAGGCCATACAAATAAAACTCCAGTACAATACACAGGACAGAAGATACCGGTACGGCACAACGACGATATGTAAAATAGTCAGTTTATGACACGTCCATGTCCCAGTGCAGCAGTGTGGAGATTGGGTCGCTAGTTTTTACAATAAATCTCACGAAACAGGTGAAGACTTGTTTGGGACATTGACTTGCCAAAAACGTTGGGTCGGACCACAGCACCAAATGATTAGGTACAAAATAGGTGAAAAAAACTAGTAAATGACATACCGGTACGGTACCGGTACCGCCGTACCGGTATGTCAGTATGTAGAGATCCTCTGTTCGAACTTTAGTTGTTGATCCAGTAATCATAAATTGCACTCGACAAAAGAAATAGGAACAATAGAAAGTCTAGCATAAAATGCGGGTCAATTTCATGAGCGCTATTGTCAGATTGCAGATCAGATGATACACACGCAATGCAGCGGCGATCGCCGGTTGTTAACATGGGGCCTGGTCGCCATCGTGATCCTAGCGAAATTGCGGCGAAATATTTTACCCACAAATCCCAGCAGTGTTCACTTCAAAAATCTGACATTAAAGTGCCATTACCGCGACATATAGAAATATACATTGCTGAGAATCGGAGTGTATTCAAGAAATTCAATTTCGATTTTCTAAAAGATCTCTTATTAGGAGTAGAAATATTTTTATTGTACATTAAAGTATATTAAATTTACTTGTCTTTAGAATTTAAAAAATAATACGCATCCACATTAGTTCAAAAGATAAAAGGGCGTTTCGACGTATTAATCTGCGATTCTCTAAAATATCCCACCTTAGGAGTAGAAATATTTTTATTGTACATTAAAGTAGAATAAATTTACTTGTCTTTATGATTTAGAAAATAATACGCATCCATATTAGTTCAAAAGATATAAAGCGAACAATCTCGGAACTTAGCAAAAAACGTATAAAAGGGCATTTCGACGATATTCATCTGCGATTCTCTAAAATATCCCACATTAGGAGTAGGAATATTTTTATTGTAGATTGAAGTAAATTAAATTGACTTGTTTTTAGAATGTAGAAAACAATGTGCATCCATATTAGTTCGAAAGATATAAAGCAAACAATGTCGATAATTAGCAAAAAATGTATAAAACGGCGTTTTGGCGTATTCATATGCGATTCTCTAAAATATCCCACATTAGGAGTAGAAATATTTTGATTGTACATTAAAGTACATTAAATTTGCTTGTTTTTAGAATGTAGAGAATAATACGCATCAATATTAGTTCAAAAGATATAAAGCAAACAATCTCGATAATTAGCAAAAAATGTATAAAACGGCGTTTTGGCGTATTCATATGCGATTCTCTAAAATATCCCACATTAGGAGTAGAAATATTTTTATTGTACATTAAAGTACAAAAAATTTACTTGTCTTTAGAATTTGGAAAATAATACGCATTCATATTAGTTCAAAAGATATAAAGCGAACAATCTCGAAACTTGGCAAAAAACGTCTAAAAGGGCATTTCGACGATATTCATCTGCGATTCTCTAAAATATCCGACATTAGGAGTAGGAATATTTTTATTGTAGATTAAAGTAAATTAAATTTACTTGTCTTTAGAATGTAGAAAATATTACGCATCCATATTAGTTCAAAAGATATGAAGCAAACAATCTCGATACTTTGCGAAAAACTTATAAAAGGGCGTTTCGACGTATTCATCTGCGATTCTCTAAAATATCCCACATTAGGAGTAGAAATATTTTTATTGTACTTTAAAGTATATTAAATTTACTTGTCTTTAGAATGTAGAAAATATTACGCATCCATATTAGTTCAAAAGATATGAAGCAAACAATCTCGAAACTTAGCAAAAAACGTATAAAAGGGCATTTCGACGATATTCATCTGCGATTCTCTAAAATATCCGACATTAGGAGTAGAAATATTTTTATTGTAGATTAAAGTAAATTAAATTTACTTGTCTTTAGAATGTAGAAAATATTACGCATCCATATTAGTTCAAAAGATATAAAGCAAACAATCTCGAAACTTAGCGAAAACGTATAAAAGGGCATTTCGACGATATTCATCTGCGATTCTCCAAAATATCCGACATTAGGAGTAGAAATATTTTTATTGTAGATTAAAGTAAATTAAATTTACTTGTCTTTAGAATGTAGAAAATATTACGCATCCATATTAGTTCAAAAGATATAAAGCAAACAATCTCGAAACTTAGCGAAAACGTATAAAAGGGCATTTCGACGATATTCATCTGCGATTCTCTAAAATATCCGACATTAGGAGTAGAAATATTTTTATTGTAGATTAAAGTAAATTAAATTTACTTGTCTTTAGAATGTAGAAAATATTACGCATCCATATTAGTTCAAAAGATATAAAGCAAACAATCTCGAAACTTAGCGAAAACGTATAAAAGGGCATTTCGACGATATTCATCTGCGATTCTCTAAAAATATCCGACATTAGGAGTAGAAATATTTTATTGTAGATTAAAGCAAATTAAATTTACTTGTCTTTAGAATGTAGAAATATTACGCATCCATATTAGTTCAAAAGATATAAAGCAAACAATCTCGAAACTTAGCGAAAACGTATAAAAGGGGCATTTCGACGATATTCATCTGCGATTCTCTAAAATATCCGACTTAGGAGTAGAAATATTTTTATTGTAGATTAAAGTAAATTAAATTTTACTTGTCTTTAGAATGTAGAAAATATTACGCATCCATATTAGTTCAAAAGATATAAAGGCAAACAATCTCGAAACTTAGCGAAAACGTATAAAAGGGCATTTCGACGAATATTCATCTGCGATTCTCTAAATATCCGACATTAGGAGTAGAAATATTTTTTATTGTAGATTAAAGTAAATTAAATTTACTTGTCTTTAGAATGTAGAAAATATTACGCATCCATATTAGTTCAAAAGATATAAAGCAAACAATCTCGAAACTTAGCGAAAACGTATAAAAGGGCATTTCGACGATATTCATCTGCGATTCTCTAAAATATCCGATATTAGGAGTAGGAATATTTTTATTGTAGATTAAAGTAAATTAAATTGACTTGTTTTTAGAATGTAGAAAACCAGGCGCATCCATATTAGTTCAAAAGATATAAAGCAAACAATCTCGATACTTTGCGAAAAACTTATAAAAGGGCGTTTCGACGTATTCATCTGTGATTCTCTAAAATATCCCACATTAGGAGTAGAAATATTTTTATTGTACATTAAAGTATATTAAATTTACTTGTCTTTAGAATGTAGAAAATATTACGCATCCATATTAGTTCAAAAGATATGAAGCAAACAATCTCGAAATTTAGCAAAAAACGTAAAGAAGGGCTTTTCTATTCTATTAAATTGCAATTCTCTAAAATGTCCCACATTAGGAGTAGAAATATTTTTATTGTACATTAAAGTACATTAAATGTACTTGTTCTTAAAATGTAGAAAATAATACGCATCCATATTAGTTCAAAAGATATAAAGCAAACAATCTCGAAACTTAGCGAAAAACGTATAAAAGGGCATTTCGACGATATTCATCTGCGATTCTCTAAAATACCCCACATTAGGAGTAAAAATATTTTTGTTGTGTATTAAAGTACAATAAATTTACTTGTCTATGGAATTTAGAAAATAATACGCATCCATATTAGTTCAAAAGATATAAAGAAAACAATCTCGAAACTTAGCAAAAAACGTATAAAAGGGCATTTCGACGATATTCATCTGCTATTCTCTAAAATATCCGACATTAGGAGTAGGAATATTTTTATAGTAGATTAAAGTAAATTAAATTGACTTGTTTTTAGAATGTAGAAAACCAGGCGCATCCATATTAGTTCAAAAGATATGAAGCAAACAATCTCGAAACTTAGCAAAAAACGTAAAGAAGGGCTTTTTTATTCTATTAAATTGAAATTCTCTAAAATGTCCCACATTAGGAGTAGGAATATTTTTATTGTACATTAAAGTACATTAAATGTGCTTGTTCTTGTTTTTAAAATGTAGAAAATAATACGCATCCATATTAGTTCAAAAGATATAAAGCAAACAATCTCGAAACTTAGCGAAAAACGTATAAAGGGCATTTCGACGATATTCATCTGCGATTCTCTAAAATACCCCACATTAGGAGTAAAAATATTTTTGTTGTGTATTAAAGTACAATAAATTTACTTGTCTATGAAATTTAGAAAATAATACGCATCCATATTAGTTCAAAAGATATAAAGCAAACAATCTCGAAACTTAGCGAAAAACGTATAAAAGGGCATTTCGACGATATTCATCTGCGATTCTCTAAAATATCCCACATTAGGAGTAGAAATATTCTGTGACTTATGTATCTAAAGCATTACTTTTACCGGGTTTCTGCGAAAAATGAGACCTAGCCGGAAAATTAGACCTCGTTTTAATTTAAAATGATTTCAATATAAGCCCACAAACCAAACAAGACCTAGTCAATAGGGCCAAATAACAACAAATTTTTCCTACTCGTTTTAAATGATTAATAATCTGTGATTGGCAATTATTTTAAACGCGGTATTTAAAGATAAATAGATATCGTTTTTATTTTACTTTTAGGTATTTGAAAATCTCCCCCCCCCCAAAGATATAAAAAATAAACATTCAAATATCTTTTTTAATGACATTCGTTTTTTTTTCTGAAATATGAAGTGCTCTGCGCATGTACCAAGATTGAGACGTTCCATGAATAATAAGTAAAATAGCAATGCATTCTTAAATAAGGCCACCAATATTTACTGGACTCATAATGTGAATATCGCAAGCATCCAATTTCGGATGCTGTAGTGCAAATTCAAATTTAAAAGCGTTTAACTAGAATTTATGACCGCCCAACATAACTTACACACTTTCATTTTTGACCTTAATACATGAGTACATTGTTTCATGCTGTATTTTTATTTAGCAATGCAGTAGAAGTAGTATCGTTACATAAATTAGCACACATTAAAGGTTCAAGGAA